GCTCGATCTGCATCAACCTGCCTGCCGCGCTATTGCAGATGGACATACCTACCCGACGACGATGGCGTTATCATGACTTGTAAGTTGTTGTAACACTGCGGCCTAGCAGGCACCAAGGCTACTACCTGCATGTGTTGACGATGACGTTGGCCAGGTCGATGGCTGTTGACATGGCTGACCTAGGTTCCCGTCGCTCAAGGGCGTCCATGATCACAAACCACAATGACGCTTCGAGCACGGTGGTTGGTCCGCGGCCGCCGTTTGACTCATCGGCGGAAACAGATTATCGATGGAAAAAATGCCAAACAGGCAATGGAGGGTGGCAGGTGGGTTTGCGGCTTGGCAGAAGTTCCTCAGGACCCTGGAGGCAGGGAGCACCGCCAATCTACACTACGAATCTCTAGGACTACGTTCCGTCAACTGCCAGACAAAAGTACGAAGGAGTCAGATGGTGTATCCGTACAGACAGCCGGGGCAAGGTTGCAACCTGCGTTCGCGCTTGAACGCTGGAACGGTGCTGCCGCCCGCCTGTTAGTGCATTAGCCTGAATGCAGTCATCCTGCACTAACATGGTGCTAATGCCACCTGCAACATGCCTCCACCCTCCACCTCCTCCGGCGTCAATCTGCCCCCCTTCGACCCATCCGCTTCCGACTTGCCGGGTAGTTATCCTGGCATGAACATGCCGTCCATCGGTCTTGATGGGTGTGTCCTGCAGTGCTTTCTTGCGGCCTACCGACGGATGGGACACCAATGCCAGGCAGAGGTCTAATTGCGTATCTTGTGCAGAGTACACCAGGTTGACGAGTTTCGAGAAGACTCAGTCCTGGCTCCATGACAGGGCCCGGAATGAATTCGTCACGATCCTCGGGGGTCTGGATCGTGACGAATTCATTCCGAGACGAGGAGAAGACTCATTCATGTCTGGAATAGGCAGGTCAGAAACGTTGGTTATCCGGCCCCGTCCAACTTGGAACCTCCCACATTCGAAATTTGCGGAACGCGGGTCCTAGGCCTCATGGGTAGCCCCAAAACTGCGCCGCAGGCACATCACCGAGAAGAAGGGCGGTCAGCCTAGCAAATCACGGCCGGTGGATCTTCGCCCGGCCGGCGAGTCGAGTCGTGTGATGGGTCCCGCCATCCCGCCGCTTTTTTCGCTCGTGCATTCCCGCTCTTTGCTGACGCCGCTCGGAATGCCGTTTTCTCTTAGCGGTTGGTAATAGCTCGCTCTTTATGCAGCCCTTGTTTCGAGCTGTCTTGTTACCTAGCTCAAGTAACTCTCGGGGCGTACAGAGCACAACTGATGCCTGGCTCTTCACTACCCGTTCAGGACCACACCACGAATGCGAGCAGACCTCTCAGAGACTCGCTGCGGAAGAGAGCGAAATGTCCAGACCTCTGTCGTCTCGCGATTGCTGGAAACCATGAGTTACTTCTCATTCACCTTGGATCTTACCTTACCCTCGAGCACCTGCCCAAAGGGTTCCCATTCCATCAGGCAGCCGCTGACACACCATCTCGCTTCGCGCACTTGCAATGCAACTTGGAGGCACGCGCCTTGAAGTTTGTACTCGAATGGTGTCCCGTTATCTATTAGCCCTGAGAGAGATCAAATCTCACCGTGCTGCATGGAGGGCCACATGGGCTGATGCCTCCCAATGAGGCCCTCCCCGGTGTCCGTGTTGGTCGACGCAGCCAAGAAGCTCGGCCATCTCTACCCGCTGGGTCTGACGTTTGAGTCTGGAGTCTAGTCCAACTTCTCGTTTCAATTGCTTTACACCACTTCTATCTTGTTATTGGACTGGTAAGAATTATTAATCTCATCCGCTGACTATCGTCTGCGGCAAGGGAATACCTCAGACGCAGCCACGGAAATCTCGATCTGTGAAGGCAGCCGTTTCGACGCAGCCATGCATTCAAATCGTGGTGTTCAACTCAAGGCTACAACCGACCTCGTCCTAGCATTCTTCGGTATGTGGGTGACTTCAAATCAACATCTCATGTTTCGAAACATGCCGCCGTCAACAACATAAGACGGGCCATCAGTCTGCCCATCCACTTTCCTGCGACTCGACTCATCCAACGGGCAGCAGATCGAATCGTCGCCGTGAAGCGACACGGTCACAAAGCCTCTTGAACATGAAGTCGGACAGAGCAAGCAGCCTACTTCTTACAACCCCGGCGATGATCTTCGCAAGCCCGAGGAGTCACCGCAGACAAATTGAAGAGCGGCATTGAGTTGCCGACGTGGTGTAACAACTACAAATGAGGCTCCTCTGGCCCTGCGATTGGCTTGCGAGGGAGATGCATAAAGTCGCCTTGTTCACCGCCAACGTCAGGAAAATAACGACGAGATTTTGCTTACCTGTGTTCAGAGATTGTGCAATCGTCAATCTCCACCCGAGTTTCAGTCTTTGGCGTCGTTCTGAGTCTTCCAGACTACGACAAATGGTTGCAGCGAAATTGGCCTCACAGCCGAGAAGGATTTCAGAGTCACCACGGGGCAATCAGGAAGGTGCAGATGTTTGAGTTGACTCAGGTGATGAATCAAGATTAGCTCCTCACGCTTAAAAGCAGTACCCGCGGATGAGTGACGGAGCCGAGAGGAACTGGAGGTCAGGCCGGGTTCTCGTCCGACTCTGGCCAATTTGCAAGCTCTTGCTAATACCACTATTTTGCACAAGAAGGCCGCCCGCAAACCTTCTTCTGTAGCAGAGAGCAAATCGGCTGTCGCGTTGCGGTTCAATGATGTGCCCTGGCGACAGTGAAACAAGGCTGGTCGGATGCCTTGAACCAGAATGGACCGGGCTGTCGCTTTGGCTGCGGCTGCAGCAACCTTTCCTCGGTTTGGGTTGCTGTGCTGCTGATGCTCAGCGCATACCTTTTTGTGTCTCTGGTGCATGTCGCAGGTAAGGTGAGGCGGCCCAACGGTGAAGTTTAGAGACATGTGCAGAAGAACTGTGCCATTGAGTTTTGCAAAGTTCGGTGTTGCAAGAGCGTCTCTTGCACTGCTGGCAGTCGACGCTGAAACGCGTCTTTCGTCCTGAGAGGGGCAGAGTAAATGCTCCAGAGGCCAAGGGGAGCAGAGATGGAAGGGATGGGGCGGAAGTGTGGATTTCAGTGTGCAGCAATTTGCATTAGCCGGGCCTTTATTGGCGCGGGAGCGGGGGGGTCGTCGGTCAGCCCTGTAGCAACCACATCTGACGCTGAGGTGATGTTGGATGCAGCGTGGGTGAATCTAAGGCGCTCATCTTCGCCCGCAAACATCCCTTGCCTCTCTCAGACCGGGTTGTCGATGGATGCGATGAATTACAATTAAGGTGGATGGGAGGTAAAAAAAAAAAAAAAAAAAAAAAAAAAGCAAACTCAATGATGGAAGAAAGATGGGAATCTCCCTTGAGTGAACAGACCGAAACAAAATGCAAGAAACAACCGGCAACTGTACCGAACACGGTTACGCCGAGCCCAGCAGAGAGCAAGCACAAAGGGGGGAGAGAGAGATGAGAGACAAACCATCTGATGACATGGAACCCGGCCGTCCATCCCATGATACCTTATTGTGACTGCTACTCGATACTCTCCTCGTCTCTTGTTCTGGTTTTCTCAGGTAGAAAGTGCATACGTTTCGACGTGTTGCGCCCACTGCCTCAAGCGCGCCGATAGTTGCGTCGATCATTTTGGAGGCCGGGGTTTTTGGTTTGATGGGTAGTGTTTTACCTGTTTCTATTCCGCCGAGATGACAACAGAAAAAACCTAGCAAGGTGCTCAGGTATCGAGTAAGGTAAGGTAGCCTATGCAGTGGCACTTCTGTCAGTTTTAGTGGACAGTGATAAGGCTACATGCAGCTCTCATCTCATCCGCCAGCCACAAATGACAAGACACAGAAAACTTGAGAGTTGAGGATTGCAACGGATGGATACTTGCGAAGGAAAGGTCCAGTAATGTAAGTAATTAGAGCAAAGAGTGACAGGAGCAAGCAAGTAAAAATAACAGCGGGCTGAGAGGTAAGTCATTAAGGTTAGCGGGCTGGTAGAGGTCGGGCTGCAGCCAATGGCACGAAGCTCGGTGAGCAAAACAGCGGGCTGACCCCCCCCCGTTCGAGCTCCATGATTGGTCAGAGGCGCGTTGATTGCGGCTTCATCTCCAGCACCTTCCCTGTCCTGCTCCGCTGCCTCGGCTGCTACTACAGGCTCCTCACCTCAGCTAAGACGCTGCCGACGCTGGGCGCTGCATTCATTGCTGCAGTGCAGCGGCGGGCGGTTGGGTTACCGTACCTCAAGGTACCTTGGGTTGGCGACACAGTCCCGTCGCGCCTCAGCTCAGTAGGTGTGTTAAACCGTCGTCTGAGCTCCTGCCAAACCTCCCGGTCCACGGCCACGTCCAAACCAAAGCGAACCACCTCAGAATCAAACTCCACCCGATGCGGGAACGACCTTTCATCCATTATTAGTCTCCCTCGTGACAATTTCCCTTTAGCCCTTTCTCTCGAATTCATTTTCCAACTCTTCCCCCCCTTCTGCTTCCTCTCCCTTTGTCCAAACCACTCATCGTCCAACCATTCAACACGCTTGGTGGTGTAAACGCCGGCCGTCTCGTCCAACATCAACCCATCAATCCCCACGGCCAACCAACGAAGCGAACCAACCTCCCGCTGCTGCGGCTACTACTACTTCTGCACCTCGAAGCTGCTCCAGCCAGCCCCGATCCCCCTTCCACCCCCCAAGCTGCTGCAGATGCTCAGGAAGCAAGCTTGAACATCCTTCGCCTGCCCACCCCTCATCCGACGCGGACGCTGCAGACTCGCTGCACGAAGCTTCCCGACTCGAATCGTCGATCCAAGCTCCTGCCCGTAAAACTTCCTCTTCGGCAACAACCCATCTCCAACACACGTGCCCTCCCCGCCGCCGCGATACCATCGTACGAGTCGACCGCGCAGACACCAACCTGCCTTTCCCGATCCCGCACATGTCTGTCAGCAATCGATCGCACGCGCATTCACGATGAAGAGCACGCCTCTAATCATCAATTGGCATGACCAGAATGCCCCCGTCTACTCTGCCCATTTCGAGCCGCAAGGGAAGGGGCGGCTAGCCACGGCTGGAGGAGACAACAACGTGAGAGTACGTCGGATTTTGATACCCGCATTCGTGCCCCCGAGGCTGACGCTTCACACAGCTCTGGAAGGTCGAGAGTGATGGAGAGGATCGCAAAGTCGACTACCTGTCAACCCTGAGCAAGCACACCCAGGCTGTCAATGTCGTCCGATGGGCTCCCAAAGGTACGATAACTCACGGCGCGGCGCTGCACGCCGGTCATAGCTGACCTTACATTCACCAGGTGATATTCTTGCCTCTGCTGGCGACGACGGAAATGTGATCCTCTGGGTCCAGTCCGAGCACAGCGGCCCTGCCTTTGGCAACGAGGGCCTCGAAGACAAGGAGACGTGGCGCACGAAGCACATGTGTCGATCTAGCGGATCCGAGATATACGACCTCGCCTGGTCGCCCGACAGTCAATTCTTCATTATCGGAAGCATGGACAACATTGCTCGCATCTACAATGCCACTAGCGGTATGCCTCAATCTCTCACACTAGAACCCTTGCGCACACGGTTGCTGACCCAAGCAGGTACCCTCGTTCGTCAGATCGCAGAGCATAGCCACTACGTCCAGGGCGTCGCGTGGGATCCTCTCAACGAGTACATTGCAACCCAGTCGTCCGACCGATCCGTTCACATCTACTCCCTGAAGACGAAAGACGGCCAGCACACCCTGAGTGGTTCTCACGACGACAAGCCTTCCAAGATTGCGAGCCATAACAAGAGCGATTTGCCGCCCAGGCGCATATCCTCTAGCAGCCCTGCACCCCCAGACTTTGGTAGATCCTACCTCTCCGTCGAGGCGGCTGTGGGCTCCCCCGTTCCTTCCGCCCCCGGAACCCCGACCTCGATAGCTCTCCCGATGAACCCGCCGAGCGTGATTAGCCATAGCAGACGCTCGTCCTTCTCGTCGAGGCGCTCGCCCTCTCCGGCCCCGTCTATGCCTCTGCCCGCTGTGATGCCAATTGAGCCTTCACCGAGCACGAAGCCGCATCCCTCGGGTGGCCTTGGCCCTCTGGGCACGAAGAACGCGCTTCTATATGCCAACGAGACACTTTCGTCATTTTTCCGGCGCCTGACTTTTACCCCTGACGGAAGCCTCCTACTTACCCCAGCAGGTCAATATCAGACTCAACATCCTTCAGAAGGCAATGCGAAGCCGACATACGAGGTCACCAACACGGTGTACATCTATACTAGAGGTGGCATCAACAAGGCGCCCATTGCCCACTTGCCTGGTCACAAGAAGCCTTCAGTCGTGGTCAAGTGCTCGCCCGTGTTCTACACCCTGCGGACGTCCCCGCCTGTTACCAAACACATCACCATCGATACGTCGTCCTCAGAGGAACCTATCCCGGCGCTCCCAGAGCCAGTCTCGAAGCCAGCAGCGGCCACTTCCGTGATGGAACCACCTCCGCCCCCGACTTCAGTTCCCGACTCGTCTACGCCGACGAGCAAGCCCGAGACCGGTGCTTCCACCCCCGGTCCGAAGGCAGCGTTCGCACTGCCATACCGCATGATCTATGCCGTTGCTACCCAAGACTCTGTGCTCTTGTACGATTCTCAGCAGCAGACCCCAATCTGCATCGTCAGCAACCTGCACTGCGCTACATTTACTGATCTCGCATGGTAAGTTTGTATGATGACTTGATACTATGATATGCTAACAATTATGTAGGTCGAGCGATGGATTGACGCTTCTGGTATCTTCCTCGGACGGCTTCTGCTCCACGCTCTCATTCGCGCCAGGCGAGCTTGGACAGGCTTACCAAGGGGATCTGCCGACACCCAAAAACCCTACTGTGCCGGGTGCCACGCCTGCGACAACCTCATCCAGCCAGGGCACCCCCATCCCGACCCCGTCGTCAGTGTTCGCCCCGCCCTCCCCCTACCGCAATGGATCGGGCCATCATCATCGGAACTCAACGAGTTCCTTCACTGCTCCGTCGCCGCCTCCAGCCGGCTTCGTCAGCCAGAGGCCCCAGTCGCCTGCACGATCGAACTCTACTTCATCTGTAGCGACTCAGTCATCGCAAGTGGTGACTAACCCGAACCTCATCGTCGGCAGCGTTCCAGGCATCGCCGTGGCCAACTCTACCAAGGTCACTGGCGTGCCCATTACGACACCACCCGAGACCCCTCGGACTAATGCTGCTGTCCCAGCCAGCAGCTCGGCAGCAGCTGGAACAGCGTCCAGCGCGACACCTGCGAGTGGGACAAAGCGAGAAGCCAGTGAAGGGGACAAGGAAGAGGGCACCGAGCCTAAGAAGAGACGGATCGCGCCGACACTAGTGGAGCAAAAGCCTTGATGGGCATTCACATACTCAGCGCGTCTGGACCGCGACATGTACAATGAATCATGGAGAAAAGCGTTGCTTGGATGCGGAGCATGGAATTAAGGCGAACAATGCCAGCTTTGATGAGGAGCAAAGAAGGCCTCGGTTGAGGCGGAAGTAACGGGCATTGCGAAATTAACACTCGCGAACGGATTTGTTTGCATGGCATGGCGTTGCTAGGGTATAACAAGGACGGAAGCACCAGGTTTCTCGTTTGAGGGAATGAAGTGCCGCGTCGATAGATTTCCTTTTCAATTCCAATATTTACTCAGTACATGAAGTGTAAATGATGGGTGACTAAGCTCACTATAGAGCCAATCAATTGCAATTATGAGCGAGAGCCAAAACAGTGGGTGCACACTCATGCATCCTCATGAGCACTCAGTGAAGCATTAAATGAGACTCATCTCATCTGAAACATGAGACTGAGCACTTGGTCGATTTTCCTCTTACATCGCCACGAACTCTGTCATTCCAGCCTCATGGACACATGGCCACCGCCAAAAGCCCCGCCAAGAGGCTTCCCAGCCCGGACCTCATCCCGAATCCATTCATAAAGAAGAAGAATCTAGAGTGGTCATTGGAGTTGCCCCCAACCCTGTCCCCCAACACGAAACCTGAGCAGGCAGACCAGGGGAGAAGTCCTCCGGCAGAAGCACCTTCTCCTCCATCTGGCCCGTCGCTCTCCGCAGCCCTCGAATCCGGCGCCGCCTCCCATCCGGACCCGGCCTCGCATTTCTTCACAAACCTCGCCGCGCACGTGCTCACTCCCTACCCGGCCGGCACACCGCACCTCGCCCCGGCAACGGCGCAGCGGGCGCTTTACGAAAGCAACGCGGGCTCCGCGAAGGGGGCACATTTCGTGGTGCACCAGCACGACCACCCGGTCGCGGGGACGCACTACGACCTGCGACTGCAGATCAACGAGACGAGCAGCGTGAGCTGGGCGGTGATGTACGGGCTGCCGGGGGACGCGAACTCGCGGCGGTTGAACAGGAACGCGACGGAGACGCGGGTGCATTGTTTGTGGAACCACGTGGTCGAGACGGGGAGCTGGCATACGGGGAGTTTGGTGGTTTGGGACTGTGGGAGGTATGAGGTGCTGGAGAAGGAGCGGCCGGGGCCGGGGGATGATCCGGAGTCTGGCGGGGAGGAGGAAGAGGAGGAAGGGGAGGGGGAGAGTGGTGGTGGGATGACGGAGCAGGAGAAGTTGGCGAGGGCGTTTGGGAGGAGGAAGATTCTTGTGAGGTTGCATGGACAGCGGCTTCCGAGGGGATATGTGTTGAATTTGAGGCTGACCAAGGGGGAGGATTTTGAGGGGAGGAGGAGGAGTGAGGGGTTGCTTGGGCGGCCGGCGAGGAAGAGGCGGCGGAGAGGTGGACCGGGGAGGGGGAAAGTTGTGGTTGAGACCAGTTCTGAAGGGGAGGAGGAGGATGAGGATGGGGGCGGTGTTGTGCCGGACCATGGGGGCGGAGACGGGGACGGGGAGAAGGGGTTGACGGGCGTCGAGAGGGAGTTAAGGGAGCTGGAGGACGAGGGGGTGAGGATGACGAACGCGTATCAGGGGGCTGAGAACAGCGTGGGCAGCGTGTATCAGAGGAGGTGGTACTTGTCGCTTGACCGGGAGGCGAGCGGGTTTGTGAAGAGACGGGGCAAGTGGGTGAGGAAGCATGATGATGAGGAAGATGAGGATAAGGGGAGATTGAGATATCCTTTTTACGTGAGAGGGGTTGAAGTTGAGAGGAGCGTTGTGACGGGGCGGCTGGGAAGTGAGGTTTTGAAGGACGAAGGGGTTGTTGGGTTTGTGAGGAGGAACGGATGGAAACCTGTCTTGAATTAACAGTCTATAAACCATCAACAGAGGATCACTGTGTAGATGTACATATACAGATATAAGCCCAACATGAGTTAGGTATTCATCTGATACGTATCGTCGAATGCCCCTGGTCTTGCATCTTGTACGCAAACGCCTGTTCCTCCAACATGCGCAAATACTCCCCCGCCAACCTCCACCTACCCCTGAGCTTCACCAGACACTGCTTGATGACAGCCACGGCCTCCTCGCACTCGGCGGAGCCCTCCTCGCGCACAAGCCACGCGAGGGTATTCGCCGCGCCGTACAGCGCGTCCAAGATCAGCGGACTAATCACGCCAATATCCTTACTGTCACCCTTCTTCCCGTCCTCGATCGACGCCGCGAGGAGCAGCAGCTCGCGCGCCATGTCGGCGATGTCGCCGCTCAGCCGGCGGATACCCTCGACGGCGCGGATCTGCTGCGTCGTCTCGTCCGGGGTGCGGATGCGGCCGGTGGGGGTGGCCGGGCAGCAGTAGAAGTCGTAGAGGAGGATGGCGCTCGAGAGGAGGACGCAGCGGGGCGCGAGGTAGGGCAGGTTTGAGGGCAGGGAGGCGAGGGCGGTGGTTAGGGCTTCGGAGAGGGATGCGGCGTCGGGGATGGGTGGCTCGCGGCTGCGGACGTGGGCGAGGACTTTGGCGGTGAGGAGGGCGCAGCGGCAGAGGGTTGGGAAGGGGGATGTTGGCCTGGAGGGGGCCGGGGAGGAGATTGTGTGGTGGACTGCGCGGTCGACGCGGCCTAGGTCCTGGGGTGGCAGTCAGTACGTAGGGATCAGGTCAAGGGGAAAGTGAAGTCTTACCCAAGCCTCATCGTCGGCGGGGAGGGTCTCGTTTTCGGCGGGGTCTGGCGAGAGGTATCGCTTCTTGTTGCCGATGCAGATGAAGCGGTCGAGGATGAGGATCGCCCACCACGTCCGCTTGCGTTCTTCCAGCTCGGTCCAGGTCGTCTGCGCGGACGTTAGTGCTTAAGCCTTGTGGTGTCAAAGGAACTCATACTGGTGAGCTGAGGAGCAGGTTCCCTTCTTGAAAGGTTGGCAGTCCGAGGAAGTCGGCGTAACGCACACACGAGCCCGTGGTGATCCACGCGGCAGGGTATATCCCGTGCGCGTACTCAAAGTGGGCAATCAGCAGCATGGACTGCAGGGCCATGAGCGAGGTCGCGCCGCCGTTCTCCAGCAGCGACATGAAGCGCTTGGCGGCGCGGTAGAGCGGCATCCGGGCGGCGGGCATGTTGCTGTCCGACTCGGGGTGCGTCGTCATGAGCTTCATAGCGAGGAAGAGCATGGCGAGGTCGGGTCCGCCTTGGCTGAGGGCGACGCCCATGTTCATGCGCTTCTTGGAGACGATGGGGAGCCAGGGGTGGATTGTGGTGAAGTACGTTGCGATGGAGGACTGAACGGACGTGCCGTCGCCCAGGTGTTGGAGGACTTCCTGGGATGGTGTTAGAGAAATAGGGGCACAGGGAGGGAGAGGGGGACACACGGCAGGGACTTCGATGAAGGGTTTCGGGACTGGCTGGTTTAGCCACTCGTATGTTGCCATGTCGAGGAAGACGTCTGGCGGGAACTGGGAGGCCGTCTGTTGCTCCCAAAGCGGTTCAACGGCGGGGTATGCCGGCGAGTCGTCGTTGATGCTCGGTCCCGAAGCGGAGGGGTCCGACACGGGACTTGGACCGGAGCTGGTAGCCACCCCACCAACACTGCCGGACGTGCCGCCGCCATTGTCATTGATACGGCCCTCAAGCTCGGCGAGTCTCTGCTGCAGCGCCGCAAAGTCGTCCGCCGTGGGGGCAGCCTGAATGGACTCGACGTAGTCGCAGCGGCGCTCCATGCGGGTGCACAGCCCGCAGGCCGGCAGCGCCTTGTCGCATTTGCGCTTTTGTCGTTTGCAGCTGCCACAGGCTTGCGGGGCTTTGGAGTCGGAGGGGTAGCGGTCCCGCGGGGTCAAGAAGAGAGTTGACATTGTGGTAGTGTGTTCATGATGAGCTTGGTGGTGGGGGCTTCTAGCTGGGAGATTTTGGGAATGGGAGTGAGGGTTGTAGGGCTGATGAACGGACACTTTTAGGGGTTGCTGCTAACGCGTTAGGCATTAGATATTCACCTAGGGTCATTGAGATTGTCTCCCTTTTTGCAGACGTAGAAGCTGGAATATTTGCTGGATCATGCATCTCATTGGGTGTGAAAATATTTCCCAAGTCTATTCTGGGAATGTCATTGAGACCGGGTAATTTATTGAAGATGACTGAAAGTACCTATGAAGTCAGGCGGCAGCAGTAAGCCCAACCTCCGGCTCTTTTGCCGGCGCAGTGGGGCCGTCCACCGCTTCACTACAACAACGGAACGCCAGTTGAAAGCTCAAATCGTTACCACAATATCTGAATTTTGAAAGCTCAAGGGGGATTACCATGTCATTCAATTGAACAACATCTCACCCTTGAGCTCATGAACAGTTGATTGCCAGTAGATCTCGATAACAAAGCAGCTGACAGCCCTCCATCTCAGCGCCGATTAGGTAATCTGCTTCGACACTGATCAACAAGTTGCTTCCAACGAAGTATGATTCCGGGGATACCCTTGTCACCACCCGGACGAACAATCTCAACAACCGCCCAAAACCGACGTTGGGCGACCCAAGAAACGACAGCAGAACATGACGCCGTTCCCGGGATGGACCCCTGTGCGCCGTGTGATTAGCACCAATTGCCCCCCCTGATCTCCGCCCAGCTTGACGGCCGTGACCACGAGCGAACGAACTGTTGTTCCCCGACAATGTAAACAAGAGGGTCGGCCGAGAGAAGTGTGAGTAATATCACCAGCCCTCCTCCTCCTCCGACCGCTTTGCGCCCATCTTCCTTTCGACTCCCCCTCTTCCACCTTCTCGTCACTCTCCTTTGTCGTTGTCGTTGTCGCTCAGCTCAACCCCGCCGCCGCCGCAATTCCCCCCTCCGCCTCCGTAATAATTTCCGCCAAAAACACCGCAAAAAAGGAATGGCTGACCCCTCCAGCCGCCCCGGCAGCCTCCGGGTCCTCCGAACCCGCGGCGGCGCGGGGCCCTCGCGAAACTCCTCCGCCCGATCCTCCGCCGTCTGGGGAGAAGACTACACCTACCTCCACGCCCTGGCGAATCACAGCAACCTCAGCCTGCGCTCCACGGCGTCGCGCTTCTCCCTCAACGAGCAGTTCGCCGCCACCCGCCGCGAGTACGAATTCGGCGATGACGATGCCTCCTCCTACCTCGAGCGCATGACCCTCGCCTCCGAGATGATGGACGACGTCGGCGGCGGCGACGACAGCACCGTCACCGTCGGCGATCTCGCGGCGCTGCAGCAGGAGGCCGACGGCGTCGAGGGGGACTACTACGACCTGCTGTGTCTGCCGAAGGACCCGACGCTCACCCCGGACCAGGTGCGCAAGGCCTACCACCGCCTGCTGCTGTATCTGCACAAGGACGGGCTGCCGGAGAACCTGCACGCGATCGCGCAGCCGTGGTTCAGCCAGGTGCAGCGCGCCTTCGAGACGCTGATCGACCCGCACCGGCGGGCGCTCTACGACGCGAGCCAGCTGCGCGATCTGACGCACGACGTACCCGAGTTCCCCGTCGACGAGGACTACCGGTACGCGTACGACCTGTCGCTAAAGGAGCAGCTGCGACAGAGGGCGGCGGACGTGGTCCAGACGTCGTCGGATCTGGGGATCCGGTTCGACGTGTCCAAGGCCGTGAGGCAGAGTTCCGCGCTGACGCCGTTGGACTTTACGTTGAGCCACTCCGTCACCGTGGGGTTGCCGGCCTGGGGGCGTCTGCTGGATGGATCGACATTTAATTTTGGTCGGTGTGGATCGATCGTGTCGAAAAAAGTGCCGTCCATCGCGGTGAACGAGGAGAAGGGGATTGAGCAGGCGAGGGAGTCGATGGTGTATCTGCCGCCGCCCCAGCTGACTCTGACGGGGTCTGTGTATGGCATCGTTGAAGAGATTTATCGAGTTCCCCTACCGTTGTTGGCAGATCGTTACCAGCCTCTGCTGCCACTGACGATCCCTCGGAAGCGTATCATCCAACTGGCGGAGCAGCGGCCATGTCCCATGATCAGCTTCAAATTCCACCAGGATATCATCCACCGAACGGACGAAGACCACATAGTAAAGACGACAGTCGAAGTGGAGAGCGAGGCTCTCCCAGAATCATCACTAACAGCGCGGGTATCCCACCCCATCCATCTCCCGAACAGCACGAACCCAGTCGTTCTCGAAGGCAGCCTGCGCTCGGGGAGGCCGTGGTACCGCGAGCCGCCGCGCATCGCGGTCGGCGTGCACCGCTGGCTCGGCGCCGGGACGGCCTACGCCTTCGCCGACAGCGGCGACTGGAGCATGTGGCCGGGCGAGACGATCAAGTTCCTCGCCGACTTCTCGCAGGTCAGCAAGACCCAGCTGCTGACCGAGTTCCCCATGAAGACCTCCGCGAGCTTCGAGGTGGGATACACGACCTCTCCCGAGCGGGTGCCCTCGGCAGGCCACGAAGACTCTCCGCGGGGCGAATGCGGCATCCGCGGGCTGGACTACGAGAACAACAGCACCAACAACGACGCCTCCTGGACCGTCTCGACGTCTCTCACGGCTACTGCCGCGGCGGCGTATCTCCGCTACGGCCGCGACCTGCCCCTCCCCGGCTCGAAGCCGACGCGGCTCGAGGTAGAACTCTGCTCCAACACACTCCTGGACCGCTACCTCGCCGTCCGCAACCTCTGGAACGTCGGTCGCTTCTCCAAGCTCGGCCTCGAGTTTGGCGTCAGCCTGCACAGCCTGCACCTGTCGCTGTACTGGTCGCGCCTCAGCCAGCGGCTGAGCATCCCGCTCCTCCTCTCGCCGCGCGCAGAGTACAGCCCCGCCGTCTTCTTCTACGCCAGCGCCGTGCCCCTCGTCGCGTTCGCGGCCAGACATTTCCTCGCGAAGCGCAAGCGCGCGCCGTCGATGGAGATCGATCTGCAGTCGTACATCAACCGCAAGCGCGCCGCGGCAGACGACATTGCGGCACTGCTTGCGGGTCCAGTGGAAGCCAGGCAGCACGCCGAGCGGAAGCGACGCGGGCTTGTGATACTGAGCGCCAAGTTTGGGGTCAAAGAAGGCGCGGACTGGGCACTCGAGGAGGTTGCGGACGTGACGTTGGCGGTCGCGGCGTTGGTTGAGGACGGCAAGCTGAAGATCCCGGCGGGTGTGAGGAAAGGGTCGATGTTGGGGTTCTGGGATCCGGCGCCGCTGAGGCGAAAGGCGCTGCATGTGAGGTATCTTTGGAAGGGGAAGGAGCGGACGATCGAAGTTATGGGGCGGGATGAACTGGTTCTCCCGCCCCTGAAGAGGAGCGCAACATGAATTGCTATTATGACGAGATGTCGATATGATGGATATGAAGGTATGGTGGGACGACGCGAAGGGTATGGGGGCATGAGCTGGTGTTATTGGATTAAGGATATCCCGTTTCAGCCTTGGCTGGACAGAAGAGTATGCAGATAGCTCAAGCCAGAACGGCTTGCAAATCCTTTTGATTGCAATATGGAGATAACTACATGCTACCTGTCTCCTTGAGCTCACTCGCTGTAGGCTGCTCGTGCCTTGCCGTCGAGGACCTCCTGGAAGAACTCCCGGTACGTAATCTGCTTGAAATCCGGATACAAGTCCGTCGTGAGCAGGTATCCCAAGTACTCGGCATACTCGGGCGTGTTGTCGTGTCGTCCCGCAGAGTATTGATACTGCGACATCATCAATCCCACCTGCGTCATGTAATCCGATTGGCCGGCCGCAATCTTCTCTCTGCTCTGCTGAATCTGGCCTTCGATATCCTTTGCGGATAGCTGTGAAAACACATCAGTCATGACATAGGCACAGTTTGGAAAAATTGGCTCACTCACGTAGGTCTTCTTAATCTTCTCACCCGAGATCTCTTCCATCAAGCCGAACAGCTCGTTCAACTTCGGCGCGAAGTTACTGGCCAAGACCTGTTTGTTCAACGTTCTGGGGTCCTGGACGATGCGCGCCACATAACGGCCGACGTCGCGCGAGTCGATCATGGAGCAGACGGCTTCCCCGTCGCCCGGGACGAAATTTTGCTCGGGGAACAGGGCCGCGGGGCGAATGTAGTCTGTCCGCCCGGAGGCGAGGCGGGGCAGGAAGCCGGCGTACCACCAGCCCACGTTGATGACGGTCCACGGGAGATGCAGGCGCTTGATCTCGTTGAGGACATCTGTCTTCTTTGAGGAACTCAGCATTTGGACCTAAGGATAGCGCCGATCAGGCCTTAAAGAAGGGGAATTTGACGTACCATATCCTGTAGGTCGTGGACACCCTTGGGCGGGATCACCATCGCAAACTCGCTGGGCACGAAACGCTTCACGCCTGCCTTTTTGGCGGCTTTGGCGAGCAGAATTTGGTCCTTGAATGAGGCGACGGAGACTGTCGAAATGACGACGTCAATATTGGCGAGGGCTTCGACGAGTGCATCTTCGGGGCCGGTGAGTTCTACGGCGATGACCTTGATCCCGCGGGAGCGGAGATCGGTGTACTTTTGGTTGGTCGCTGAGGAGGGACGAGCGATGGCGGTGATTTTCTGAAGACCGTGAGCACTCTTCTTACAGTAAGCGAAGGAGTTGGTTGGGCAAGACTTACGAAGGCATCAGATTCGAGGAGGGCGTCGATGATGAAGTGCCCGGTCTCGCCCGTTGCACCAATAATTGCAACTGAAGTCTTCGCCATTGTGTCTTAAGTATCTTTTAACGTTGTCTGTGAGTAATTTTGAGTTGAAAATGATGAGCATTTTCACAGCTGTTCATTTGTTTTGTATCTTGATTCCATGCCTCTGGATGGGCAGCCCGTCCGGCCTTCGTCCGGTCCATTGAGGCAAGTTTGTAAGAATCGTGAATCTATAATTTGGATTTGGTGATTCGGCATATGCGCTCTCAATTGCTACCGCAAATGATTCCGCTACGAATACGATCGCTATCGAAGGCATTGTTCTCGGGATGAGCAAGTTGTTTGCGGAGTTTGTGGGGTTTAGCGGACTTCATGGGTTGTTCTTTGGCGGACTTGTGCACAGGTTTCATAAATTTGCCAGGTAGGCAGGTTGTAGTCATTTCTCATAGAAACGACTTCACATTTATTCGGCAGATCAAAAATACATTTAAAGAATTTGGTAAAAAGACATTGCCACCTCCTTACCCCCGGTTGAGGATGTCGCCTCTGCCAATCCCGCTCTTCTCACACATGTCCCTGAAAATGCCCCCTTGATCGTACAAGTTGATGGGAGAGTCCAGCTCAGCCACGTGGCCCTGGTCCATGACACAGATCCTGTCATACCCGATAATCGTTCTCAACCGGTGCGCGATGCAGAGGAAGGTCTTTCCCTTCAGGTTGCCCAGCGTCTGCTGCACCTTCTCGTCCGTGGCGAAGTCCACCGAGCTCGTCGCCTCGTCGCACACGATGATCTTGGAGTCCTTCACGAGCGCCCGGGCCAAAGCCATGAGCTGCCGCTGGCCCAGGGAAAAGTTGAGGCCTTCCTCGTCGACGGGGCTGTCGAGGGTGATGTCGTTTGCGCCCGTCTCGTCCACCAGACCCGACTTTCGCAGCGCCGACCACAGGTCCAAGTCACTGTGTTCGTCGAACGGGTCCAGGTTGGATCTGACGGTTCCCTGGAACAGGGTTGGATCCTGCGGAATGATGGCAAGCTGGGCCCGAAGATCCGCGAGGCCGATCTGGCTGATGTCGACGCCGTCTATCGAAATCGAGCCGCTTGCCAGGTTGACGATCCGGAACAGCGCTTGAATGATTGTTGATTTACCAGATCCCGTGCGCCCGATGATGCCGACTCTTTCACCCCCTTTCACCTGCATGCCGACACCCTTTAGAACCAGTGGGAGTCTCGGGCGGTACCGAAGTTGAACATTATCGAAGACTATTCCCCCGGCATGCGGCCAGTCAGTTGGTAACTGCCCGAGGTGCGCGGGGGGTTCTTCCTTAAGACGGTGTCCATAATAGTACACTCTCTCCGTGCTGTTCATATCGTTCTGTACCTCCGCCATTTGCCGCACCGCGAAGCTGCAGATATTGATAATCGAAAGCATGTACGATAGAACTAGACCGCCGATGCTGGGATGGACGCTGAAGCGAGACGTCACGATGAGAAGACCGATGACAAAGATCAAGATCAGACCGACTGCATCTAGCCGGAGACCGAGCCAGCACTGGTTAGCAAAAGTCAGGAAGTACGCCCCATCGAAATCGTCAATAGCCCGCCGGATTGTGTTGACGAAGTGACCCTGCACACCGTACGCGCGAATCGTTGAGTGGCCGTAGATGGCCTCGCTGACTTTGGCTAGCACGTTGGACCGTTGGATAGCCTCGTGTCGCTTGATTTCTCGAGCTGAATAGTTGTAATATGAAGTAGCGAACAGGTATATGAGAACCAGGGGTACCAGGGCAGCTACAAAAATATGAAAATATGCAATGATCAGCGCGAAGACGGCGATGATGTTGCCAATGGTCATGAGGTACATCCGAAGAGAGTCGGTCAGTTTGTTATCCATTACGTCGACGTCTTTGGAGAAGCGGTTGGTGATCCTCCCCAGAGGGGTGGTGTCGAAGAAGGCCATTGGTGCTCGCAAGACTCGGCTCATTGCCATCTGGAACATGTGCCGGCTTGCCTTGGTTCCGAAGATGGAAACGCATACGAAGAAAGCGAAGATGGATATCGCTTGGGCGAATCCCAGTCCTGCGTATATGCCTAGCTGTAAAGGCGTGTCAGATACATAGCAAAACATCGGAGCCGGTATGAGAAACTTACCCAGCCGCTCAGAGTGAGAGGAAATTGACCAGCAGTCCACCATGACAGCCACAGTCCCGTGGCTATATACGCAACTTGCGCGACAGTGAGCAAGAAGATGACCAGAGGGGCAATCATGAGAGAGCCTGCTGCCCTGAGATATCCGACATAAACATCCCAAGAAACGGCCTCTACGGCGCGTTCCTCAGCTTGCATCAGAGCAATCTGAGAAGCAGTGGACTTGGAAGTTGCCGTCCTCTCCAGCGTCTGCATGTGAATCTCTTTGTCCGCATTCCGGGCAGGAGGGTCTTCGTCTTCGGCGTTCTTTGACTTGTCATCGGTGGTAGCGGCAAGGGTCATGAGCTCAGCGAACTCGCCATTGTGGTCCATCAAGTCGTGATAAGTCCCGTCGGCCTTTACTCTCCCTCCGTCCAGCCAGATGATTCTGTCGCATTTATGCAGCACATGCAAAGAATGCGTCGCTAGAATTCGGCACTTGTTGGCGAGTAGCCCGCAAATGGCCTCTTCCATGACATGACGCCCGACTTCAGCGTCAACAGCAGATAAAGGATCGTCCATGAGGATGATGTCTGCGTTGAAGTAGATGGCGCGGGCGATGTTGATACGCTGCTTTTGACCCCCTGAAACCGTGATTCCTCGCTCACCGATCTCGGTCTCGTCACCGTTTGGGAGCATTCGGAAATCCGGGAGCAGCGCGCAAGCTTGTGTAACTCTATCATATAGACCACGATCGAAATCCCTCCCGAAGATGATGTTTTCTCTGACGGTGGCGTTCTGTACCCAGGCATTCTGGGGGCAAAACGCCCTGGTAGCTCCAAACATGACTGTGCCTGTCGTCTTGCGCATCTCACCTGCGAGGGCAGCCAAGAGAGAGCTTTTGCCGGAGCCCACGTTGCCGATGACGGCGACCAATTCTGAGCGGCCAACGGTGAGGTTGAGCTCGGGTATTTGGAAGGTGTCTTGGGTCATTGATGTGTTGGGGGTTTCGACCCGCTTCTCATCTATGACTGAGCCGTCACTTGACTGCCGGGATCGCGTTTGTTCCCAGGTGAATGTTGCGTCCTTGACGACAATGGCGTTATCATTGCCATGATCCTGGATTGCGTCTTCGCTTGCCTCCTCAGCAAGAAGAAACTCCTGAACTCTCATCACCGAGGCAAGCGCATCAATAACTTGGCCGACCGCCACGGGAAAGATGCTCAAGGGGAAACGCATCTGGTTGAAGAGTGCCAGGGAAGAGAATATCGGGGCTGGGGTCAGCGGGTGGTTCCCAGTCGTCGAGTACGTGATGAAAGCCAACATGGACGCGAAGACCGGTATCACCATCCCAATCGACTGAACACCGTCGCGAAGAGCCAAGAGAGCCTGGATCGCCTTCACCTCGTCTTTGCGCACCTTCTCCACCCGTTGAAGGAAGCTCAGCTCCCATCCAAAGAGCTTGATGAACCGAATGGACTGCAAGGCTTCCGAGATGATGCTGACGCGTCTATCCGTGAGCTTGTTGATGACGCCGCGTCTCGCAAAGAGGACTTTGGTCGCCATGCCGAAAAGCGGCGCGGAGACGAACAAGACTCCAAGCCCAGGCAACGCAGAGTACCCCAGATTGATCAGCAAGAGAACAATCGTGATGATGATGGACAGCGGCGCCGACCAGGCGAGATGGAAGAAGCTGGACGCCTGGTCGATCCGGGATGCGTCAGTCGAGACTAAGTTGATGATTCGTCCGTTGCTCCATCCCTCGTCTTCTTGTGGCTTCTTCTTCTCATCTTCCCCTTCTGGGCCTGTGTTGGCTTCGGAATTTGGGCCTCCGGCTTTTGCACGACCCGATAGCCGGAGCGACTTGGCGAAGATCCTCGACATGAGGATGGCGCGGGCCTCCCCGCCGACTGAGAGTCCCGCATAGAGGAAGTGGTTGGTACAGACTCCCATGATGCCCTGTAAAGCTGTCATGACAACAACCAACCCGACGCCATAACCAACGGAGGGGCCTTGGCCCCCATTTCGTTGAGCGTTGAAAGCATCCGTAGCAAATGCGATGATGTACCTCAGGAAGAACGGGGTTATTGCCTGGGCTATGGTAGCGACAAGTTGTAGAATACCGCCCAGAAGGAATTTGCGCTTGAATGTAGTGAAGAGTGCACTGAGTAGAGGACGTGGAGCTCCATTCGCCACGCGCCGGTTGAACTCGCCCTCAAACCTCTCTTCCAGGCCCGGCACAGCTCGGTCAGGGTTCACCAACCAAATATCGTTTATTTCCAAAGGCCGTTGGTAGCCAAGCTGTACTATCGTGTTACTCACACGGTCTCATACTGGTTGGTGTCAGGCTTACGTGAATAAGAGGCGTTAGCCAGCTGAATACCATCTTGCTCGCTAGGCCCGCAGACCCTTCTCGTGATGGCTGTTCTCGTTGGCCGGGTATCTGCGGTACCACGCGGGACTTCAACGGATTCAAACGCCTCCGCCATCGGCCGGGCTCTCTAGGGGTTACCGGTTCCACTTCGTCGTTGTTGGACTGGTTGCTCTCCGAAGCAGCAGCGGACATCTCAACATCTGTATTTGGCTTCATGTTGCTGCTTCCTTGCTGTGGGCTGGGTTGAAGTCGACCCTTAGATTGGTAGACGGCGTTGAAAAAAAGCGGTATTAGGATTCCCACAGCGGGAAGTGAATACCTCCTTACCGGACCGGGGAAAGCGGAGGTCGGACCTGTCTAAGTGAAAATGCCCCTGTTAGCTGAAAAGTAGACTGGGATAGCCCATATTTCAAGCTTTGCGTGGCTGTCAAGAGCACGTAACAAAACCGGCATCAGGCGACTTTTCATCCCTGGAAGCGCGTGGTGACCTGAGTCGCGGTGCCGACGGCACCGCCATTCACAAGTTCGAATCTTCGATGCCTTCTACCGAGGACATCGTATTACGGTCCAATCGCCGATAGATCGAGTTATTCAGAAAGGCATAGTTCCGCGAGATATCGTCAAGCGAAAGCGAGCAAACTGATATCAACGGATGAATCTTATGGCCGTGAAAACTTATTCTACACATCCCTCTCGGCCTCGGCCAATCTGTTCAGCTCCTTTTCCAAGGATGCTGAAAGCTCGCCTGCAGACGAGTCCTCTACGACCCCTTTCTCCCAGTCCAACGTAATAGACATGTAGCCGTCCTTAGCAGAAGCAAGACAAACTGTATAAGGCGAGCCACTTGTTGAGGCTCCCGCTGAGAACACGACACGATCAAATGCTGCTTTTTGCTTCTCTAGGCCAGCCACTGATGATATCTCACCGTCCACGACACCGATGTTCGTCACATTGAAGGCGTGCCGTCTCCTTCCTCCCAACATGCCCAAGAAATGCTGCCGGTAGTCGCTCACGAACTTCGTCAGACCAACCGAGAGGTTCTCCGACGAAGAGCTCCTTTTGTGAATGAAATCTTTGCACTCGCTGGCGGCCTTCCAGATCTTGTTGTCATCTGCCGAGGCAGTCTCTGCCGCATGTGCGGTGCTTGCCCTGCATGAGATATAACCCCACGGCAAGCTTTTATCGGCAGAAAAACAAGGCTCCGCGATCGCTGTAAAGCAACCCATGTCGTCTGGTGAATGCTTCGAGAACTTCCTCAGTGAGAATGGTACTGAGGCGATGAAGCGCGAATGAGTTGGGTATAAGACACCAAGAATTCGTGCCACAAGGACTGTAACGAGGGCGGTGATGCTCGCTTGATGTTTCCTACAGCCGTTCCGCAAGTCTTTTACCACGCTTTGTGGCAAATAGAAAGTTCGAGTATTGCTCACCGGAGGGAGTGCATCTTGAATAGGAGGCCCCGACCATTCCAGAGTATCTGTAGACGAATACAAATATGTCTTGAATGCCTTGGTCAACATGAAGAGGGCAGTGAGGGGAAGGTCCATACTCTCCTCCAAGTGAGGGACCAAATCAAGTTTTGGCACCTGAATAATCTCAGGTTTAGAGAAAGCGCTGGGGCTTGTTTCCCCTGACTCTATGAGGCCATTCAGCGCGTTACGGAACGTGCGGTGGAATGCTGCCCCCGACAGCCCGTCACCAACGACATGGTGGAATGAGAAGGAGAGGGCAAAAGTGGTAGTATCTTTCGAAGCAGACGACTTGATCACTTCGCAGCGCCATAAAGGAAGGTCTTGAGTCCTGTTAAATGGCTTTTGATGTTCATCTTGAATCCTGGCGTCGACGGCCGAGAGGTCAGCAGGATCTGCCTCGACGAAGTGGACGATCTCCCGAAGATCAATTTGATCGAGTCGTTTGAACGACGGCTGAGGGCTAGCTTCATCTGTCAAGGCAATGCCAAGAATAGGGTGCCGCTCTACCGTCTTTCCTAAGGCGGTGAAAATCAACCCCCTAATGTCGTTGTTAACGAGTGCAGGTGTCGTGTTGCAGAGGGTGTATATGCAAGCAACTTGGACGTTGTTGTAGAACTTGACGAGATGTTGATGGATAAGGAACTTCTCCAAGTTTCCTGCGACTATGGTTAAAATGAGGTCAATCCACCGGTGGCTTATGGAATCTCACCAACACCTCGTAGCGGCTTCACCTCCATCATTCTTCGTGACGGTCTGGGAATGGATAGAAGTTTCACCTCAGGTTCCGTACCCACGAGCTTGCGGGTTGATTTCGGTGAGTGGACACAGATGATGTGCCTTTCTCACCAAAAATGACCTCTATGCGCAATTACTAAAGACCGGGCCGTTTGCAGAGTTGCTGATGGGATCATACGGACTTATGCTGTCCCGTCTCATTCCGTCTTATCCCGGATCGCCGGCGGCACGCCCATAAAGAACATGAGTCGGTGTAGAAAGGTAAGGTCTCTTGGCATTCATTCCCTGACCCGAACCTCGATTGCTTCCAACTTGTCCGTGTGTATGTCCGACTGCCGTCTTATCGCCTCAAAGCTTATTCTTCAACACGCATTCCTTCACGAGCAATGATCCTTGGAGAAGGCTCATTAAGAGTCTTTCGCATGCACAAAATATTCGTCTGAATGCTGGGATGCCAAACCTAAGCAAACTTCCCGGATTTGGTATTGACTCGCCTCAAACCTAGGATGGGACTATCATCCCATAGCCCACCTGTTCGCCAGCCTCGACATCGAATTCGTCGATCAGGCTGAGGGCCATCTTAGGATACCTGGAGCCCTGAAAAGTATATTGAGAGCCAAGTGGGTTTGTGAGAGAAATGGAAAACATGGAAAACGCGTGCGCTTGACGGAACCACAATTATTTCGGAGGTTTTGATGGTGCATCGGAGATTTCGGAAGTTTTCACAGTGTCGGTTGCCAACCAGGAGCGGCAAGGTACTTTCAAGATGGGCGACGGCATTGCAAAGGGAATCAATTTGATGAATAATTGGTCAGAAACACGCCATTTCAAAGCACAGTTGACTTTGTGAGTGTGGCAGCAGGTATCGCCAACGATCGTAGAATTTACCCAGCGCAGGGGCTAGGCACCACACACGTACTTCGACGAGTTCCTTCACCATCATCAGCCATCAATTCCTGCTCGGATCGAATTCAGCCAACTCCCATAATGGTATACCAACAGCACCATGCATGGTATGTGTTCCCCGTATGGGGTCACATCACCAGTGCCAACGCCCTGATTATCAAGATGCTTGAGGAAAACCCAGCTTTGGTTGTTACTTATGTGACGCATAGCCTCGTTGGTATGCAAAGTTTCCAAAGTGCCTTTGAAACCCAGGCAACATGGGAGCTTTACTAAACATGAGTACCTGAGGTAGACACCCGTAGATTCCCCGAGTTTCCAAAGGATCGATTCCGTCTCTTGACCTTCGGTGACCCTGAGTAAGCATTCAATCTTCTTAGCTTCCCAAAAACGTCCGGGCTGACCTTCCAACATAGCATCTCCAAAAATGTGGGGAAGAACACCATTGCAGAGGGCATTGCTCAACTATCCAAATGCTGGATAGAGACCCTGCAAGAAGCCTGTGATGGCACACAAGCCTGGCCAAAGCCTACAGCCCTCATGCTGGACCAGAATGGATCCATCCATACTCTACCACAAGTCAGAAACATCGTCGGACCTGACTGTAAGGCATACATGTATTGGGCCGGTAGTGCCGCACGCCTGTATTCGTTCCTTGCGCCGTCAGGTAAATGTGGATTTAGCGACTGGGAAGACATTGTCGATAAGTATGTCTCCGATGAGACATTGCGAAAAGGCAGAGAGCGTAGTGAGATCATCGACAAGGTAGGAGAAATACTTTCTCACAAGCTGCTGCGCCTGCGGACTTGTCCAAGTATGGTACGCACTTACTAATCATCGCTGGCTAGGTGTGCATAGCGAAGAATGGGTTTGATGAGTTTAACGGTACGGTTATCTCAATTCCTGGAATTCAGGATATGTATGACTACGAACGTGAATTCGGCGAGGTTCCGCTGCAAGCAGGTAAGCTGACCTACTTTGCTTCGCGGTCATCCTGATTAACTCATTCTTGCAGGCGTATCATCGATGCTCAGAGAGACTGTTAGTCTGGCAAAAGCAACTGATGGCGTGGTATGTGCCTCGTCCATGGCTTTAGAGGGCGAGACCATTGCTGCCTGCCAGACTTACACGACTGTATACCCCGTCGGTGTTCAGGTTGCACCCAGGGGTTGGTCTAAGAACGAGTTGGTGGTGAAGGACGAGACTCTGCGTGCTTTTCTCGACAGTCACGGAAAGGGAGAAATTGTTTTGATCTCATTCGGGTAAGCTTCAACTTCCTTCCGCAATGCTCGGGATCATACAACGGTAGAAACCCATGCTGACTTTTGGCGCTTGCCACAGGTCTCTCGTATTTCCCACCAACAAAACAAATTTCCAGGCCTTGGTATCAGCTCTCATCGAGGCCAAGTACCCCTTTGTCCTGGTTCTTGGGGGAATGTTCGCAGGAAAAGCCATTGATCCATCAGAAATCAGCCGAATCAATGACAGTGGTGTCGGCTATGTGTGTGACAGATGGGTGGACCAACAATCACTTCTTCAACATCCCTCTATTGGGTGGTTGTTTGCACATGGGGGATTCAACTCAACAGTGGAAAGCCTCGTTCAGGGTATCCCGCTCATTGGCTGGCCTCTTGCCCCGGGAGACAACGCCATCAACACGGCGGTTGTTTCCACGAGGAAGAACCCGGTCGCGTTTGAAGTGATGCAGGTACGTATTCTGGACTGTGAGACAAAAGCTTTAAGTTGAAGACTGACGTTCCAAAGATCCGTACTGGCAGTGCTAAAGGCAAACCCAGAAGAGGAGGGTCCGACATTGTTGGAACTCCCCAGAGCGTTGGAGAAGAATTCAGAGATATTCTTAAGAAAATGAGGGGTAAAGAAGGAAGTGAGAGGAGAGCAAACGCTCAGACTCTGGCTGAGCAATTGAAGATTGAGAGGGATACCATAGCCAAGGAGATTGTCTCCAAACTAGCTACGACCTGAGCTAAGAGAATCTTTGGTTGCGGCAACTGTAATTAGTGCTTGAAGACTCCAGAGATATGTCTACCCTATCTCATCACTGTAACTAATTCAACACCGAGAAATAGGTTGGTCAACGCAATGGTGAACTAAAGTCCATTCAGTTATTGAGTCATTTCTCGCAGGCCAAAAAAGAGTGCCATGTTGCTGCACAGTGTACACAGTAAGTAAAGATGCAAGGGCTATTCATTTGGTTTAGTCGGAGGTTTCACCAACTTTAAATCATCCACTGTGTTCATCAAAGTGCTACCCGGCGTCATTCCTGGATCAGAGATCGTATGAGCATGGGAAGCTCTGCGTTCAGGGGCATTGTCGCGTGGCACACGTGGACGGCGCAGAGCGATCTTATCTTAGAGCTGAAGCTTTTCGCGGACGTCAACTGCAACCGCTAAGCAGCAAGCCTCAATCGCGCTCAGCCGAGTTTTCAGTAATTTAGTTTGCAAAGATGGCCAGCTCAAACGCCAGTAACAATGTTCGCTTCAGCCCCGAAAGCTACCCGCCATTCCTGACAGACCTACCCACAGCTCCTATCGAGAAGATTTCCCTGCGAAAGCTGCTAGAAAAGGACGATGAAGAGGCGAACAGGCTCTTTTTCGCGTGTCAGAAGCATGGATTCTTCTATCTCAACGTTCGTGACCATCCAGAAGGCGAAGCTCTTCAAACGGGCGCCCTCCAGATGGCACGACTAGCCGAGGAAACATTTCAGCTTCCACTAGACGAGAAGAGAAAGCATCACCAGGCTTACAATGGCAGCATCTACGGCTACAAAAGCGCTGGGGCACAGAAGACCGACGCACAAGGAACGCCAGATACCGTTGAGTTTATGAGCATAGCGAAAGATTTCGTCGTCAACGATGCGCCCAGCCCGAACCAGAATCCGTCCACGATCGTGGAAAATAAGGAGATACTGAAGCCGTTCGTCACGAAAGCCCACGAAACCGGCGTGTTTCTACTGACGCTGGTTGGAACCAAACTCGGACTTGTCGAAGAGGAAGTCAAGAACCGACATCGAATCGACCAGCAGTCTGGATCTCAGTTGCGACTGACACGAAGTCCACCTCTAGACAAGACGCGAGACCCCGAAAGCCAGATCGCTACGACTTCACACACGGATCTTGGCAGCATCACCATTTTATTCAACTGGCTGGGAGGCCTTCAAATGTGGGAGCCAGAACACCCAGACGGCAGCAAGTTCTGGAGCGCTTCGCGCCTGTCACAAAAGGGGCGCTGGACTTATGTCGAACCCGTTCCTGGTTACGCAATAGTCAACCTGGGCGATGCGATGACCAAGTTCAGCAACGGCGTCCTGAATTCAGGAAAGCATCGCGTTCTTCCGGCTCCCGGAGAACAAGGAGATTTTGTACGTTATAGTGTGGCATACTTCGTGGGGCCAGAGGATGACACGGTGTTGAAGGTGCTTGAGGCAGCTGGGATTCCCCAATGGGAAGGTGAAAAAGAACCGGAGAAGACATTTGGTCAACATGTCTTGGACTTTGGGAGAGCGAAATACGGCAAAGACTTGGTGAAAATCTTCCAAGAGAAGAACAAAGCAGTGGTTGCGTAGTCGTTGAGCATGTAGACGAGCAAAAAGCCGGAGGCCATCATTCTGAAGCTATTGTCTTTGCGCATTACCCTCCCTACCTACATCACACAAGGTGCCTGATTGAATCAGTACTGGCTGCCAACGAATGATCTACCACACCTCGGGGCATATCACAGCGAAGGGGTTCATCTCATTGCGTCTCCTTACCACCACATAGCCCTACGGACCATGATCCCCTTGGGATGACGAAGCGTGTGATCGTTGATTTGCGAGGAGCAGGCAGATTCCTTGAATCCGGCGGCAGGTGTCTGCGCGCCCTGGCATGTGGAGAACCCCCGACCATGCGCCGGTGACATTTCAAAAAACCTCCGGTTCTGTTGGAGGTCAAGGGACCCTGGAAGAGCCGAAAGCATCAATGTCCGGGCTCAGGTCCGGTCTTCACGGATAATACCACACCACTTCTGTCCATGTCATCTACCCACAAGTGTAACTTTCCATGGCGTGGAGGTAAGGATGAGGAACTCGCAAAAGACCCAGCTTGGTCAGTCGTCTACTCATACCTAATTGGGCAAGCTCGTGCTCTTGGAGCCAAAAGTCAATTCCGAAGAGTCGTGGTGAGAATGCATGCGCTCTTCCATTGCTCACAATCAGCACTCCGAGTCCCCTTTCTCATGTCGCTATGATCGACTCAAGTCTACACCTACCTCGAATTCTTTGCCTTCATGGAGGCGGAACCAATTCTTTCGTCTTCAAATCTCAAGCTCGGTCTCTCATAAGACAACTTGGACCGCATTTCCGCTTTGTCTTCACGAACGCACCGTTCATTAGCGATGCTGGTCCCAACGTGCTCCCGCTTTACAAGGACTGCGGGCCGTTTCGAACATGGCTTCCGTGGGCTGGTGCGGAAAACATTGCGACGGACAAGAAAGGGGTGATCGCAGCCATTGAAAACAGTTTACATCAGGCCATGGAGGACGATGATGGGAAGCGTGCTACAGGCCCTTGGATCGGCCTTCTCGGATTTAGCCAAGGCGCGAAGCTATGCGCAAGCTTGCTCTTCGAACAACAGCTACGAGCTCACCCGACTGAGCCGCCGCACCCGAACGAGTCAAAGAGATGCTATAAGGGGTGGAAGTTTGCTCTGCTACTCCACGGCATTGCACCGTTAGTAGCACTAAGTGAAGAAGGGGAAGGGGAGGGCATGCAGAAAGCTGACCAGATTCTTGGTCTCTTTTCTGAAGGGTTCAAGTTTGAAGAAGACAAGGCGAAGAGGCTGTTGACAACACCGACAATACACGTTCACGGACTGCTCGATCCTGGCTTGCCCTTGGGGAGGAAACTTCTGAGTGGTTATTGCTCTGATAAGTCGGCATGTGTGCTTGAGTGGGAGGGCGACCATCGTGTGCCAGTAAAGTCGGACTTCGTGCAGAAGATTACGATAGCAATTTTAGACGTGATATCTTAGATACAGATATCAATATCATACATCATATTTGGGCACATGTGATCGAGGTGATTCAGGGCAAATTTACGTAGTTGTAGGAAGGCATGCTACGGTTCATTTGAACAATGGATATAATCAAATAATCAATATTTAAACAGTTGTACTTCATATAAGAACTCCTGAGGATCAAAAGCGCGCAAAACAGCAGCTGGGTTGATCAACCCTTCACCGACACGAAAGCACTTCTCTTAACAACCAGAGGCGCCAGAACATCAAGCCCGCCACTGCCCATCAGCTCAAAGATGGTCATCTCCGCACCCATCTCGTTGACAATCCATGACCGTAGCTCAATCGCAACAAGAGAATCAACACCATACGAATGCAGTGGAGCAGACAGATCGACTTGTACATCCGCATTGAGTATGTTCCAGATCTTTTGAGCAAGTCCCTGTATGACGACCTCGACTGCTGCCTCAGGCGATTCGGCAGAGCTGAGGAGACGCCGGGAGCTCAGGGTCTCATCCCCAAGATCGCCATTAACTTGCTCGGAGTTGTCATCTGAAGGTCGAAGGTGAATGAAAATGGGGTCTCGCTTCCATAGAGGTGTTCTGCCATTCAGCGATCGAGGATCCTGGAACTTAGGAACACCGAAGACCGCTTGGGACTCCAGGGTAGAGGGTAGAGGAACGCTAGGATCACAGACTTCGTCGAGGATGTTGTATAGCTCATGGGGTCTCATGGCGTCGAGACCAATGTGCTCCAGCTGCGCTGCTCTGTCAAGACTTTCAGCAACGTACCCAATTGAACCCATCATGCCAAGGTCGATCGCAACAGCCTTCTGGCCCTTAGAAACTAGATGGCGAGCCAGAGAGTCTTGGTAAGTATTACCAGCAGCATAATTGGCTTCGCCCGGTTCACCGATGAGACCCGCAAAAGATGAAAGAAGGACGAAGAAGTCCATGGTTGAGGGCAGCATCTCTTGCAAGTTCAACGAGCCTTGCAGCTTTGGATCAACGCAAGTCATGTAGTCCTTTACTGACATATTTGCGAATAGGGTAGCCTAGTCCAAGAGTAAGAATTGGGTCTGGAAAGAAGAAGCAAGATCTAGGATAACCGTACCTTGAGCACCATGGCAGCCTGGATGCAACCCCTGACTGGGGGCATTTCTGCTGAGACATCATCAAGCGCCTTTCTTAGCGCTGCTGCGTCTGTAACGTCCGCTGCTGGACAGGAAACCGTGACTCCCTTTGACTTCAGATCAGCCATCAGCGCTTGAGCTGACTTTCGCGTAGGACCCGTTCGCGAAAGAAGAACCAAGTTTCGAGCTCCGCGCTTGGTCATCCACCTAGCGATCCCGCGCCCAATACCTCCCAATCCGCCGGATATTACGTAGGTAGCATCTGAACTGAATGTCCATGATGCTTTCTGTGACGGTGTGGCCTGGTTGAAGTCAGCTTAAATTGCCTTGACGGGGTGATGAATAGGTCGAAGAGAAGGAATTTGCTTACCATCACTACATCGTCAGGTCGTGATTCGAGGACAATCTTTCCAAAATGTTTTCCAGACTGCATGAACTTGTAAGACTCCTGGACTTGGGAGTAAGGGAAGACATGAAGTGGCTGGATGCTCTTGATAGAACCTTCAGCCACGAGCTGCATCACATCTCTCATCAAGCGCCCAGCTTGCTCCTTCTTCTCCATGACCAGCATCTCAAGATCGATCAAACGGAAGCTGACGTTTCTGAGGAACTGGTGCATCGGAAGCGTTGCTGCAGCCAGGACATCCTTTTTGCCGCACTCGGCGAAACGACCGAACGATGTCAGACACTCCCAAGTGGCACGTAACGCGGCCCCGGATAGTGAGTTCACTGCAACATCAACTCCCTTTCCGCCAGTCATCCGCATGATACCGCGGGCGAAGCTCAGGTCGCGACTGGAGAAGATGTGATCGGCCGGTATACCGTAGGTCTTGACAAGAAGATCTCGTTTATCGAGGGAGCCGACAGTTGCAAAGACCTCGGCGCCCGCGAGCTGCGCCAGCTGAATACATGCTTGGCCGAGACCTCCAGCGGCCGAGTGAATAAGCACTGTCTCCCCCCTTTGAATGCGCGCGTAGTCGTAGAGGGCCATGTACGCCGTCATGAAGACGATCGGGATAGCCGCAGCTTCGCAGAAGGATAGCTGAGACGGGATCGGGGCCAAGCAGTGGTGAGGACCTCGAGCAAAGGTACCGAAAAGTCTCTGATGGCAGCCGAAAACACGATCACCAACAGTGAAGGGGGTGTTTGGACCCGTCCGAGTTACAATACCGGCGGCTTCGGCACCGTTGGCGCTGTTTGGGAGTTGACCCAGGGCATGCAGAAGATGCCGGAAGTTTTGACCAGCAGCCATGATACGGAACTCAACTTCGCCTTCACCCAGAGGACGGCCGTAGATATCATCGTCAACGAAGCGCATTGAGTCAAGAAGTCCAGGAGTTGCGACTTCCAACATCAATGCCCGTTCAGGACTGGCTCCAAAGACGGTTGGCTCCGGCTCGGCGTTGCGACCAGAAAGTGCCTTAGAGCCATTGCCACCGAACAAACCGGAACCAGTGACGAGTCGGGGAATCATGATGAGTCCATCGTGTTCGCAGAAAGCATGGTCGACAAGAGGGGAAGTGTCAGAAGCGAGAAGCTTCTCATTGACGAACTGCAGAATCGTGTCGGCGGCATGCCGGCAGTCCTCCAAGGGAGGCAGGCTGGAAAGGCTCAAGGTGAGGAATCGAGCTGCATTCTCCATTCTCATGGTTCGCGCAAACCCGAGTACCATATCGGCGGTGGGGTTGGTTGGGGCAACACCTCCTCCTTGAACAACCCACAAGATAGCACGAGCCGATCCGCACATGTTTTTGATCCCGCTGAAAACCTTTTCGTTGGGTTTAGCAAGAACAGACTCAAAGAGCTCTGGGAGGAAGATGCATGTCTTTCGCTCGAGATTGGCTGTGCTCAAATCCACCAACTTGACTATTTCAACGGGAACATTTGAACCGCCAGATGACAGAGCAGTTCGAAGTTGGCTCGCCAGACTCTGTTGTAAAGCACATCGATCGTCAACAATGATGCTAACTGAGTCGTCTTCAGACTTCTGAGTCTCTGCAGGCCTGGCAGTGCCAATCATGACGTTGAACTCTGCGGGCGCGAGACCGTCATCGAAACAGAGGTCGATACCACCGAAGCCGCTGTCTTTGAGATGCGAGTCCCAGCCTTCAACTGTCAGGAGTGGGCCATCTTTTCGATACTCTTCCGTACTCAGCCACCAGCCCGGAAGCAATCCGAACGAGAAGTTGCCATATGTATCCAGGTTGGTGACCTCAAATAGTATGAATTTTCCACCGGGCTTCAGAAGAAGGCGTATGTTGCGCAATGTCTCATGGATGCTTCTGGTGGCGTGAATGACGTTGGAAGCAATGATGACGTCGTACTGCTCTTGCTCAAAGTCCTGAGCCAGGGGATCTTGCTCGATGTTAAGTGTGGCGAATCCCATCTTGTGTGCAGTGCTCTGGAAGTTCTGCTCGGCTTTGGCAAGGAAGGCAGGTGAAAGATCCGTGAAATCATATCTCCCAAAAAGCGGCTTCCCGTCTCGAGTGAGTGCTTCAAGAACCGGGCCGGTAGTTGCTCCCGTACCAGCTCCAACCTCAAGGATTTGCATGTGTGGGTTCTTGTGTGCCAGTGTGCGCATGTAGTTTCCGATGATGGCAGAGCTGTAGGGTCGGTGGTAGATGTTCTCAGCAAGTTGGTCAGTGAAGAGAACTTGGAGCGGGTCCCGTGCGCCAGAAAGAATGTCGGGCAGTACTCGTCCAACGCCAACCGTCAATCGTCCTCCAGCACTTGAGTTGTCCAGTTTAGTCTCCAGAGTAGCGATAGCCTCGTCGGAGTAATCGAGCTTCTCGCGGTTGAGTGCACGCCCCTCACGGTTGGCAATGAAGCGTTGAGCCCAAGTCAAGTACTTCTGATAATGAGACTTCGTCGAGTCAACGCTTTCAGCACTATGAGACTTCAAATAACGCTTCAGGTATGCATAAACGAGAGCATGTGTGTCGGAACAGATGGCAGACTCGTTGGGATCGAGAAGCGAATCCGAGATATTGAGTCCCCGCAAAGCATTTTCTTGCTTCAAAAGGGTAGCATCTGGTCTCCAGTCGACGTTGTAGCATGTGTTGGTATCGGATGAGGTCGTTTCGCCGTGGGCGATGGAGGTGCATACAAGCCCCTTGACCGTGAGAAGAGGCTTTCGAGATTGGGGATCAACTCCGATCAACTCCGCCTCAAACTTTCTGGCTCCTTTGTCTATGGTACCAGCAGAGAGTCGCATCGATTGCAGCGGAGTGGTTTCATTCTGACTTGAAGCAATCCACATCTCTTTGATCGATGTTGGCACAGCGGCTTGCATGTCGCCTTCCGCACCACCCCGATGCAGTGCGATAAAGGCGCCCGATATGGCACTGTCGAGGCTCGTGGGATGGATAACGTGGGGGTGAGTAAAGCCGTATGGCATTATAGGTACCAGATCCGGCGATGTAAGAGTCATTGCTGCCAGGGTAGACGGCCCAACACTAACATCTGACAGGTTTCGGAAAGAAGGGCCATAGTTCAGGCCGGCCAAATCAAAAGCCTCGTACACTTGGTCATGAGTGAGAGGGTCAAGGCAGGTCTTGTCGGAATCTTCCACGACCTTTGCGCAAGTCTCCTCGAACTTCACCTGCTCTAGACCACCGTCCACAATGGTATGGCTTGAGTCGATGTCGGCTTGAATCCAGCCACGGCAGTGATTCCGCCATTCGTCGTTTTGGTAGCTCCAAAGTTCGAACTCACTCCATGTCGCGGACTGACTTGACGTTCCCTCCCAGAGAGGGCGAAGATGGAATCGGGTTTCGATTCCCTCCGCATCTTCCGGGATATCAAGGGCAGTATGGAATGAGACGTCTTTGAATCGGAAACCAGCTAGCTTGAGAGCAGGGTCAACCAATTGCTTACAAGCTTCAATTGCCATTACCAGCATTCCGGCAGCTGGATAAAGAGTGCTGCCCGTGATGACGTGGTCTTTGACCCATGGGTTCTCTCTGGCTCGAATGAAATGTCCCCATATGGCATTTGAGGGATTCCAATCTGGAACTGGGGAACCCAGGAGATCATGGCGTGGGTGCTTGCGGAACCGATAGTTCTTGCTCAGTCGACTTTCGTTCCAGTAAACCGTTGAATGGTCAAACGGGTATGCGGGGAGGTCGACAAGCATTTTGAGCGCAGTGTTCCCAGTCGTGCTGGAAATTACAGCAGACATGTCGAGTTGATACCCTCGGCAGAACAGATAGCCTGCCGCTTCGAGGGCTGTGCCGTCTGCTGGGCGATTTCTGATGAGCATAGACGTGTAAGTGACGTCCTTGACCCCAGATGTGATTTGTAGGATATCACGAATAGGAGACTGGAGAACTGAATGTGGGCCAACTTCAACGAGAAGACCAATTGCTGCCTTCTTTGACGTCGATGCATCATCTACCGAGTCGCCCATCATGGCTTGCAGGCCATCGCTGAATTCCACTGGCGACAGCAGGTTGCCAACCCAATATGCCGGATCCAGTAGGTCTTGAGCTGATGCTTGCCTTCCCAGGTATGAGGAAAAGAACTTCGGAACTGATGCTCCTTTTAGGGCCGTCCCTGGCTCAATGGTTCCGATGCTACTGGCGTATTCCTCCGCAATGGGGTCCATGTGAGAAGAATGGTAGGCATTGACAACCCTCAACTTTCGGCCGAAGATACCATCTGAGTCCAGGAGGGATGAGAGCAAGTCAATTGCTTTGGCACTGCCACTAATGGTGACGCTCTTCGGGCTGTTTATGCAAGCAATCGTGACATGACCTTCGCTGTCTTGTTGGTTGACTTTCTCGACATAAGTCTTGGCTTCCTCTCTCCCAAGGCTGACTGCAATCATGGCCCCCGTACTGATTGTAGAAGATAGACGGCCCCGGTGGTAAGCAATCTTCCACGCACTCTCTCTAGAGATGGCCGAAGATGCATAAGCTGCTGCAATCTCGCCAGAGGAGTGACCGATAACAGCATGCGGTGCTGCTGACCAGCTGTGGAGAAGGTCGACGAGAGCAACCTGCAGAGCGGTCACCGTCGGATGGCTTAAGGCAGGAGTCTCAATGTTCAACTTCTCCGTGTTCATGGACAGCACATCTGCAGTGATGTTAGTCAAATGAATCTGAGAAGGGGAAGTTTTAAATATGTTACCTGTCAGTGACCAAGAGCACCCCAAGGTCTGGAGATACGCATTGGCAGCCTCAATACTTTCCCTGAACACCGCGTATCTCAGAAGTTCGCGTCCCATACCGAGCCATTGTGCGCCTTGTCCAGTGAAAACAAGTTCAATCTCGATTTTGGTGTTCGATCGAGTCGGCTTCTCAAGCTCTCTCAAGCGCTCACAGAGACTTTCGCTATCATTCGCAACTACAGCTGCCCTCCAGTGAAAGTTGCTTCGCTTGGCTGCCAGCGTTTAGCTTAGATCATCGAGATAAGTCTCATCAGAAGTTGACGATCGAGCTTCCAAATGACGCACATAGGAGTCTGCAACTCTCTTCACTCCGGCCTGATCAAATGCTGACAAGACGTAGAGCTGTGGTCTTATTTGAGACTGGGTTCTTGAAGTTGCTAGTTCAGTCTCCTCCGTCTCATAGAGAAGTGAGCGACGTGAAGTAGAATGTTGCGCTATCAGTCCGCGGCTTTCAAGATATGACCGGGCGTCTTCAAGAATAACATGCGCATTCGTTCCTGCAACCTGATATTAGTCGCTGATTCCAGGTGAATCGCTTACTGTCAGCAAGAAATAACGACTCACCTCCTATACCAAAGCTGTTCAGAGAGATTCTTCGGGGTGTGTTGTCTGGCCAGGGTACGGCAGTCGTGGGAACCAAGAATAAGCTCTCATCCAACTGTACTTGGGGATTCCACTTTTCAAACCACAGGTTCTTGGGAATAATGCCACTCTCGAGGATGTAAACGGACTTCAGCAAGCCAGCAAGGCCTGCAGCGCCCTCAAGATGGCCCACGTTCGTCTTGACGGAACCGACATACATCGGATTTTCAGCAGAAAGGCGCTTGGAGAAGACTGAGTTAATAGCACTCATCTCGATAGGGTCTCCAACAGCAGTACCCGTGGCGTGTGCCTCGAAGTACCTGGTCGCGCCTGGATCGAGACCGGCTTCGGTGTACAGACGGTTCATGAGGCTCGACTGCGCTTCTGCAGTTGGCATCGTGACGCCGGGACTTTTGCCATCCTGGTTGCATCCAATATTTCTGATGATCCCACGGATAGTGTTACCGTCTCTGATGGCATCGGATACTCTCTTAAGGATGACAACGGCGATACCCTCACCGCGGGCGTAGCCATTCGCCTTCTCGTCAAAGCTGTAAGACTTTCCGTCTGGTGAGAGAACGCCAAGATTGCATAGGTGATTGGTCATGTCGGGGTTGTGAATGAGATTGCAACCCGTTACAATCGCCTTGCAAGTGTGTTAGAGCTTCTTGCAGCGTGCATTCACTTGAATTGGATTGAGTTCCAATAACTCACCATGGAAGATTCCTTGTTGTCCAAGCTCTGTGCCGCCAGGTGGCAGGCTACAAGACTGCTCGAGCATGCGGTCTCAACTGTAAGACTCTGGGCCTTGAGGTTGTAGAACCAACTGATTCTGTTTGCAAGCATTGGGGCATTTAGTCCCAGTGGAGCATACTTGAGATGTTCCCTCTCAAGATCTTTCAATAGAATGCTTCTGTATTCATGGGTAAATGCACCAGAAAACACCGAGGTGTCGGTTCCACTGACACCCTGTAAAGAGATGCCAGCTAGTTATCCCTCAAGTCAGTAACGATCTAAGACGATAGAAAAGTCGCCTGATGTTCGCGCAACTTACCATTTTCAAGAGCTCGATAGGTTCCTTCCAACAACATCCGCTGCTGAGGATCTAGACAATCTGCTTCCGTAGCCGTAAACGAGAAGAACGGTGCGTCAAATCTCGATACGTCTTCTTTCAGGAAGTGGCCTGTTCGCACACTCATCTGATATGATGTTAAATGACATCTCTGTGCAGAAGAAAATTCCCAGCGTCTGAGTCAAGGAACTACTTACTGATCCTGCCCGAGAAGCATCCGGATGGTAAAAGGAGTCTACATCATAACGATCCTTTGGAACTTCGCCATGGGCGGATCGTCCTTTGGCGAGAAGTTCTGCGAAGCCTGCAGGTGTACTAGCATCGCCAGGAAACATAAGATCAAAGCCGATAACGGCGATGGGCTCCTGGAGAACCATGATGGGCAGTTATCTGAGGAGCAGCCAAGATTGTGTGGTTGTGGGAGTGTGCTGGAAACCACAATTGAATGACAGCGATGGTGACGGCCACGACAATCGTCAGAGCGGAGAGTTCGATGGTGTAGAGTGACCTGTGGCTGGCGGTAAAACTGAATGAACAACTGCAGATCACTGCAGTGTTGTTGCCATTAAGAAATCGGACCGGCTTCAACCCGTCCAAGTCGAATGTCAACAAGCACTCCCGGACGTTAACCAGGGTGTAAAGGCTCAGTGACATTTGCCCGCGCTACCAAATCACCACGGTGAACTCAAAGCTACGGGGGTACATTTACAGCAAATTGCTAGGATCTCCGAGACAATGCCAGGGGTTCTAAATTAAGTCTTCTCGGGTGAGGTGACACATCCCTTTCTCTCCAGGGTCCTGATCAACAAAACGCCACGCGGTCGCCGACCACAGCTTTGACGGGGAACAGATGCAACCGCAGCAAATATTAAACTGCAGGGATCATAATTCATTTGAAGACATCCTTCCAACAGCTTCCCGGCAGCAGAGGCCTGACAACTGGGGTTTCAGGCAAAAAAGGAAGTCGTATCCATCTCTTGACTCAGCTACCGCGGGACAGATCCGTAAAGACTCTATAGAGACGAATAACATGCGGATTTTCCCAGACTGACTTTCACTACTAAGTAGAGTAGCAATCCGACTGAGCCGGGTGTGGCTTGATGTGGACGGGAAGTAAAATCACCGAACCCAGGTGTTCGGTATTTTGCCTATCAGATAAATGACGGGTGTAAGTCTATCAAAGTTTACCTCCCGGCTTCCGTATCCTAATCGGGTTTCTTAAGTGGTGTCCTCGTTCTCGGTAAATCCAGTCGACTTTCGAATTGGGAAGACCCACCAATGGAGGCTTGCACATACGGGTTACTGCAGTAATTCGCGAGAGTTCGGATGAAAGCTGTCTCCATTAATTTATAAAGTAACATGCAAGAGCCTAGTAGATGTGTTGAGACACAGTGACAGTCGGGGTTGAAGACTTGTGGAACCGGGACGAATGCACGGGATGAGAAAGGTGGATATAAGACACGTATTTTGACGAACCTAGGTTCTGTAAACAGGCTTGAACTACCTTTTAGGCTCTATTCAACCAAGCAAACATGGCGTCCAATCCTTTGACCCTTCAGAAACGACGAATTAAATCAAGTTCGCCCGACAACATTGCCCTGTACTTGATCCACGATGGAAGTGGAACAATAGCCAATTATACCAAGCTGGGCAATCTGGACTGTGATGTCTATGGCATGTAAGGACGAGAAGGAATTGAAAACTGATATGGGGATACTGATATTGGTTGCAGTCAGGATCCGCATTTCGCATCGTCGCAGCCATGGGGTGGCGGCATGGTGGAAATGGCGAAGCACTATGTCTCGCTCATTGAGAAGACAACTCCGCGGGGCAAAGTTGTTCTAGGAGGTGAGTTAATCTAGAACATACCGCGGTCCGGTATTCCACATGGTCTAAAACCAGCCCTAACCAACTCAACAGGATGGTCATTTGGCGGCTTGATAGCGTTTCAACTTGCGTACGAGTTGAGAAACCACGCCACGCTGCAGGTTCAAGGTGTGCTTCTCATGGAAGTGATCTACCCCTCCCTGGCCCAGGCCGAAGACGACGGAAGCGCGTGGCCAGGCCTCTCTGCCATTCGGAGCCCAGCAGTTCGGGAGAAGGTAACGAAGTCCATAGTGCAAAGTGGAGCCATGATGAATGCTTGGAAACCGCCAACCTGGCAGCCGCCGGCGGCTTTACCGGCAGTCGTACTTCTCCGAGCGAAAGGCAAAGAAGTCTCCGAGAATCCACATGCATTGCGGTTCAATTCATTGAGAGACCAGCGTTTTCTTGGCTGGGAGGATTACCCGGACGACCTGATCACTAGGATGTTCGAAATTGAGGGGTCACATTTGACTCTTTTTGAGCAAGAACATGTGAGTTGGTTCTGAATGACGCCACTTGGTACAGGCTTTGACTAACGTTCTAGATCTATTCCCTGACGGCGACGACGAAGCTTGCTCTCCGGTTTTTCGAATCCGAGGCTGGGGCTTGATCAGACGTGCTGGATGGCGGGGTCGCCGAGGTGAGATGAATTGAGTTTGAAAACCACCGAAAAATAGAGTTTGGACCCCTTCGAAGTTCGGAGGCCGAATTTCTGGAGAACATGTGGGGAAAGGTGTGAGCGGGTTGACTGACTTTCATTCGGCATCCGAGATCATCAGGAGATGTGAGAAACCCAAGGACTCTGAAGCTTATCATAGAATACAAGGGGTTGAGCCTGCCCCTGGGCCCTACCTAGAATATTCACACCATGATCCATTATTGTACAGAGCTCGGCTTCCCTCCACAATGCCGGGGGGGCCGGGGAAGAATATCATAAGGTTCTTGACTTGAGTCAGGTTGATATGTGTCATCCTAGGGGGGGACGCGGTGTTGTCCCGTACCAGGATAGTTACTGTTCAGCTTGTTGTGCTCAATATCAGAGACGAACATCTGGAGAGCTTACGTATTGCTGGCATACATGAACTTTGCAACTCGACCAAGTTCCTATGAGGGATCACGAGTGTTAGGGAACAATCCATCCAGGCCGCAACCCTTCTCTTGCTTTTCGACAGTGCAAACATCGCCATTATGAGAAACATTGATCCGAACGGAAGCGGCACCGGGGCCTGTATGCCTGAACATGATCCTGTGGTGATATGTGGCATGGCAATGAGGCTCCCGGGTGGCGTCAGTAACTCGGAACAGTTCTGGGACCTCCTCATGAACAAGCGATGTGGATCGATACCTGTGCCAAAGAGCAGATTCAACGCCAAGGGCTACTACAGCGAGCATAAGCGTCCGGGAACAATTCAACTGAAGCAAGCGTACTTCATAGACCATGTTGGTCTCGATCGTTTTGATGCTTCTCACTTCCCTTTCAGCCGCAAAGAAGTTGAGAAAATGGACCCAGTCCAACGGATGCTTCTGGAGATAACCTGGGAGTGTCTCGAAAACGCCGGAGAAACAGATTGGCAAGGCAAGAATGTTGGCTGCTATGTTGGTTCATTCATGGAAGATTGGGGCACGGAAATGAATCGCGACACTCAACATTTCAGTACCTATCCGGCTGGCCAATGGGATATCATGTTGTCAAATCGCATTTCTTACGCGTATGACTTTCACGGACCCAGGTATGAACGCCTTTCTGCTTCCGAGCAAAGACGGCGAATAGCTGACATGTTCCATAGCATGACTGTAAGAACTGGTTGTTCAGCAACATTGGTGGCTCTCAACCTGGCCGAACAAGCTGTGAAAAGCGGCGAGTGTAGCTCAGCTATCGTCGCTGGTTGTAACATCTTCCTCTCGGCAGCGTCAGCAACAAAAGCTTCGTATGGCACTCTGGGGACGGTTCTTTCACCAGATGGTATTTGTAAGACTTTCGATGCCGATTGCAACGGTTATGGCCGTGGCGAAGCTATCAATGCCGTCTACGTGAAAAGGCTCTCACATGCACTGCGAGATGGGAACCCCATTAGGGCCATCATCCGCTCTGCTGCGACCCAGCACGACGGCAAGAAGCCGGGACTACTTAATCCCAACACATTTGCGCAAGAGGCCCTCATTCGACACACCTACAATATTGCTGGGATCACGGACTATTCCCAGACTTCATTCTTTGAATGCCATGGAACAGGGACGCATACCGGAGACCCCACTGAGGTTTCTGCAGTGACAAGAGTCTTTGGCGAGAAAGGTGTTTTGATCGGCGGTGTAAGTGACCTTTTACTTGAAGACAGCTGAAAAGTTCCGGGAGTTTCTGACAAACCAACCACTATTTCAGGTAAAACCAAACACTGGACACAGTGAGGGAGCTGCAGCCCTTACTAGCATCATCAAGGTGGTCCTGATGCTCGAACGAGGCATCATCGCTCCCAACATCAACTTCAGCACACCGAATCCTGAGAGTAAGTCATTCCCTGTATGTTATGAGCTACAACCATTAATACCTTCACAGTTCCATGGGCAGATGGAAGAATCAAGGTTCCCACAGAGTCTCAACCATTCCCCTCGGATCGCCGTAAGAGAGTCAGTGTCAATGCCTTCGGAATCGGAGGTACCAACGCACACGTGAGTATCTGGAACGATCAATCTCAGACGTGCTGCTAACCGAACCAGGCTATTCTGGAAGCATACGAAGGGAATAATGTGTCTAGGTCAGCTCTGACCTCCTCAAGAAAGGGTTCCCATCTGTTGCTCTTCTCAGCGTCGAACCCTCAATCTCTTCATATGCTTGAAGAAGCCTACAAGCAGCATGCATCTGAAAGACGTGCTAATCTTACTGACCTCGCTTACACGCTTGGTTGTCGACGAAGTTACCTCAACTACCGGTCGTTTCTGATTGCTCATGATGGCAGCGATGGACCACACTTCACGGAATCTGAATCTCTAGGATCAACTACAAGCACGAAAGCAAGAAGAACCGTATTTGTTTTCAACGGTCAAGGAGCTCAGTGGTCGACAATGGGCAAGACACTGATGGAGTCGAACTCGATTTTCCTGCAATGCATTCGGCGGCTGGACGTAGCACTTAGCCGCTTGCCTCAGCCACCATCGTGGAAGATTGAACGTGAGTATTTGTAGAATCGTCCAGATCCTATTTGTTGACTAACACAATTAGATGAGCTCTCCAAGGCTGAAGGTGAAAGCCACTTGATGGAGTCCGAGCTTTCTTTGCCCTGCAGTACTGCCGTTCAAATTGGTATCACGGAGATCCTACGCAGCTGGTCTATTCGGCCTGATGCAGTCTGTGGTCACTCGAGCGGTGAGATTGCAGGTGCATTTGCGGCTGGTGCTCTGACTGCAGACGAAGCGATTGTGGTCGCGTACTTTCGAGGCTACATCCCTAAGTCCATGGCACAGCGCGGCAGGGAACCATGGCAGCCATTGGTCTTGGCTCACAGGACGTCTCCAAGTACTTGGAATCAGGGGCTTTTGTTGCCTGCGAGAACAGCCAAAACAGCACAACAATTTCAGGGGATATTGCCGCCATTGAGAGTGCTGTGGCTAAGGCCAAAGCAGATAGCGTCTTTGCTAGACAACTCACGGTTGATCGTGCTTATCACTCTCGTAAGTAACCATTTTGATGCACCAGAACCTTCCACGATACTGAATAAACTACAGCACACATGGAGGTCTACGGCAAGGCGTATGAAGAGGCTATACGCCCATTCATCAAGTCCAAGGCGCCAGAGGTCCCCTTTTTCTCAAGTGTCACGGAAGAGCGTGTGACGGATGCCGGAGCATTGGATGCTGCCTACTGGCTCCAAAGTCTCGTCCAACCTGTTCGCTTCAATGGGTCTTTGAGGCGTCTCCTGCGAACATATGGTCAAGCCACGAACCCGGTTCTCATTGAGGTCGGCGCTCGCCCAGCTTTGAAAGGTCCCATTAAGCAGATCCTCGACGATTTTCCCAACATTAACGCTTCTTATGTACCAACATTGGAACACCACAGTGACGGAAACGAGAACATGCAAAAGGCGGCTGGCAGGCTGTTCTGCGAGAATGTGTCATTTGACCACCGGGATGTCACACCCCCGGGCAAGCCTCTCACAGACGTGCCCACGTATACATGGGCCCATGACGAGTCTTTCCAAGAGGAGCATCGCATTTTCAAGGCATACAGAGACTGTCAGTTCCCCATGCACGATCTTCTAGGTCGACAGAACTTCGAGACCAGCGCCTTGGAACCAACGTGGCGCAAGGTATTACAAGTCGAGGATCTTCCTTGGCTAGGGGATCACATGATCAACGGTCAGATTATCTTCCCCTTCGCAGCCTATTTGTCCATCGCGGAGGAAGCTCTGCGACAAGTCACTGGCGGCGTTTTGGAAGCATTCTCGGCAAAAGACTTCTCAGTCACTTCAGCTTTACACCTGGAACCTGGAAATCCGGCAGAAATTCACACTAGACTGCGACGTATCGACGAGTCTTCTTTCCACGTTCAGATCACTTCTTGGAAGAACGATGTCTGGACTGAGCACTGCAATGCCGAAGTCAATGCTGGACCATTCCCGCTCCGTCCTCGACAGGGTATCAAAAAGAAGGAGTTCCCACGTCTTCTTTCTCCTCAACATTGGTACACCACTGTCCAGGACCGCGGCTTCACGTACGGTCCCACCTTCAGGGGTATGGACAACATCAGTGTGAGCCCGTATTCCAGAGAGGCAACTGCCTTTGTGCATCCCATGGACGATCCATCGGACTATCTCATTCATCCCACTGCACTTGATCAATGCTTCCAGACGCTTGTCACAGCTGGCTGTCATGGTCAGCATCGGAAGGCCAAATATGTTTCAATGCCCAGTTCAGTGAAGGAGATCTTCATCTCAAGAGCTACGGGAAACTTTTGGGCGACAGCAACATCAAACTCTTCGCCACTTGGTGAGCTCTCTGGATCATTGCTCGCATACACGGATGATGGCAAAGAAGTCATGAGTATGAGTGGCGTCCAAGGAAGTCAGATTGCTACACAAGCCGGTACCGATGAGCTGCCTCTTCTCAGCCACGCTCATTGGTATGCACATGCGAACTTCTACCCCTTTCATGAGCTACACGGCCAAGATTCTCTTGCAACTGCGATTGACATCCTCAAGCTTACTATCCCCCAGCTGCGGGTGTTAGAAGTAGGCACTGGGTCAGACACGACAACGAGGGTTCTCCTTGAGCACTTGCGACCGGAGAAAGGAAGGCAGTACTTCTCCAAGTACACGTACGCAACACTGAGCTCTACCGCATTGAGAGAAGCCGAGGAGGCTCTTTCAGACATAGAAGGCCTTGAACTCGGATGTCTGGACCCTTTCAGTGATGACAAGCCTTTGGATCTCGAGTCTGGTTCCTACGATATTGTCATAAGCACCTCTGTAAGTGCATACTGAAGAACTGCAGATTCTAATACTGATTTCGGCAGCCCTTCGATCCAATCGAAGATGCGAAGACTTTTCTTAATCGCTCCAAGGATCTTCTACGTCCTTCAGGACTATTAGTCCTTCTGGATATCCCAAGACGTGCGTTCTTTCCCCCCAATGATCTCGCAGGTAGAGACTAATATTGCTACGTAGCTACGTAGACGAAGGCAAAGTATCCGAGAGTCTTTTACTGGCGTGTAAAGAGAGTGGCTTCGACGTAACCAGCGTGGAAGACAGACCCTTTTCCGCTGCTACGCTGATTCTGAGGTTGCCTGTGCCTGTTTTCTCTGACAACATTTGCATCGTTTCGCCTGAACAGCCGCATCAGCTTGTCGATCATTTCAGATCCGCTCTTGAGTCATCGTCAATTCCAACCCGAACATGCTTTGGCACCAAGGACATCCAGGCCGATGACGCTCTGGTTTTCTTGTGGGACATTGTCAAACCATACCTCTACAACATCACCGAAGAGCAATTCGCCCCGCTCATCGAGCTTCTGTCCGGACACAAGAAGCCAATCATCTGGGTCACGCCCCACTCCCAGACCTCTTGCACAAGCCCCGACTCAGCCATGATACATGGACTAGCTCGTACACTACGTTCAGAACTCAAGACTGATATCACCGTGGTTGAGTTGGACACATTGGTAGACAATCCCAGAAACCTTGCTCAATGTCTGCTACAAATCGTGAAGAGCTTGCCTTTGCGGCGCTTCAATGATGTCTTGAGCCCGGACTTTGAGTTTTTGATCAATAACGGTGCTGTTCAAGTACCTAGATTTGATTGGACCACGGCTCAGGCGGAGTTATCCCGATGCTCGTCACGCAGAGCTGCACAGTTCTTATCTAGGCTGTTGCCGAAGAAACCACGTCAAATCGACTCGTTGAACTGGATCAACTTCCCCTTGCAAGATCTTGAATCTGGCAGTGTCAGAGTTGAGGTCAAGGCATCTGCTATTTGGAAAGATGTGAGTCGAGCACAAGGATGCCTATGGTGTGTGAGCGATGGTTGCTGACCTTCGGGATAGGATGCCGATACAGTGAAGCGTATCGTCGATACCAGCAAGCTTTGCCTTGGGCATGAGGGAGCCGGAGTCATCACTGAAGTTGGTCGCGACGTCCAAGGCTTTCAGGTTGGAGACAGGGTTATGTTCCTTTCTAGCGGGGCCCTCACAAGTCACCTTGACATCTCGCCCACACGCTGTCTCCGACTGGAAGAGGAGACTTCCTTCGAAATTGCTTCCTCCTTGCCTTTTTCATATGCAGCAGCCTTCTTGGCGGTTGTCGAGTTCGGAAGAATTCAAAAAGACGCTGTAAGATTTGCCTCTCTGACTCATTTTTGAATGGCTCATGCTAACCCTGGGTTTTCAAGGTCGTCTTGTTGCACTTTGTTCAATCTCACCTGAGTCTCGCACTGGTGCAGATCCTGAAAAGTATCGGCGCAAAGGTAAGACCATACAGATTCTGTCATCAATGGGCTCTTAAGATCAGAAAGCTAATGTTATTCTAGATTCATGCCATCGTTGATTCAGAAACAGACCAATTGATCTTGAAAAATGATTACCAGGTGCGTTGCGTCTTCACCAGCGGTGGCGAGCCAATCATCTCGCAGATCAGGGCTTCCATGAACGGGTCAAAGGTGGACTATGTGCTGGGGCTGCCAGGCCTTCAATCAGAAGACCTGTTGAAGTGCCTCTCATCAACGGGAACCTTCCTCGATATCTCTGATTCTCTCGCCACGAGAGGCCCACCCGAGGCTTTGCGTTCTAGCCAAGCCTATCGTGTCGTCAACACTGCACTTCTGAGTGTTGAAGAACCCGAATTGATTGGAAGGTGCGAAGCCAATACTAACTCTGTATGTCTTGTGCTAGACAAAGGCTAACTAAGAATTTGCAGGGCATTCCAGGAGTGCAAATCCTACTTCTCCGAAAAGCCAAGGCTGAGCTGGACGACGCTCGTCTCAATATTTGATGCAGACCACAGTCGTGAAGCATTCCAAGCTGCTTCTCAAGAGGGGTCCAGAGAATCCAAGGTCATTCTTCAGACGCCCGAACAGGACCAGCGCAAGAAGCTTGAGATGTCATCCTCTGCAACGGGACTTAGCTTCCGCTCAGATGCTGCTTATTTAATGGTTGGTGGTTTGGGAGGCTTGGGGCGTGCTGTGTCGACTTGGATGGTCGAGAATGGCGCCAAGGAATTGGTTTTCCTTTCACGCTCTTCAGGAGGGACGCCTGAGACGTCCAACTTCCTCGAGGAATTGCGAAGCCAGGGTTGTCTCGTGAAGACTGTTGCTGGTAGCGTGACAAACCTGGACGAAGTGTCACGCGCGATCACATCAGCTACCAGGCCTATCGCCGGAGTCATTCAAATGTCAATGGTGTTGAGAGTACGTTCTTCACTCATGCAACTCACTGGATGGCACGTCACTAACAGCTTTCAGGACAACGCAACTACCCGTATGACGTTTACAGAATGGAGAGAGTGTGTCAGCCCTAAAGTCGACGGCACGCTCAACCTCCACAATGCACTACTGCATCAGCAGCTAGACTTCTTCTTACTCTTTTCATCCATGAGTGGAATTACCGGACAGATTGGTCAAGCCAACTACAACGCCGCCAATGCGTATCTCGATGCTTTCGTCAAATTTCGCCACGGCCTTGGACTTCCAGCTTCAGTAATCGACATCGGTGTGATGGGCGGCATTGGAGTCGTTGCCCAGACTGACAACATGGAGCTCAGGGCAAAGGCAGCTGGCTACCATGTTCTCGGCGAGCAAGACCTGTTGGACTGCATGACAGCAAGCATTCTCCACTCTCAGCCCAACCCGGATGCGACCTCCGACATGAGTCAAATGGTCCTGGGGTTGTGGTCCCAGAAGCCGCTAGCTGATCCTTCGACCCACGTTCTGTGGAAGAGAGATGCTCGCATGGGTCTTGCATACAGTTTCAACAGCCAACGCGGCAGCAGCGCACAGGAACAAGCTGGCGAGGATAAGGTGGACGCCATTGTATTTCTCGCCAAGACCAACCCGGAGAAATTGCAAGATGAGGCGACCATCGAGCTCATCGTCAAGCATATTGGGAATGCAATGTCGGAGTTGCTTGCTCAACCAGACGCGGAAATTCTGCCCACCGCGTTGCTGGACGACATCGGCTTGGATTCCCTGAACGCCATCGAGCTCACTGGTTGGATTTCGCAGTACTTCTTCGTCGACTTGCCATTATTCGATTTGATTCACACGCCGACCTTATGGGATCTTGCAGTCAAGGTAGCTGAGTTGATGTATGAACAGTTCGGGCAAGCAAGCAACTGAATCTTGGTGGATTGAGGATGTTTCCGACTTTCAAGTACTTCAATTCAAATAGGCATTTGTATCATTTTTGACCAGAAGTAGTATCTCCATTATGTCTTTGGCTGTCAAATTCCTCGATCTTTCACCAGTGTCAATTACTTTAATAACCGTCATGGCCTCGGTTGATGAATGATGATATCCATTTCGAACGACGTAGATCTCCCTGTGCTGACATGCCGTCGCGGCCAGTCTCCAGATTACTGGTCTAATCGTCTGAGATCATTTTACCACGGCCATTATTCACTGTGAAGTTTGGGCTCAATATGTAGGAAGATGTAGAATCACGACAATGCGCATTTGCATCAACTCTGTGCGTTTCCTCCAACTCCTGCCCTCCTAGGGGCTTATCTACCCACAAATAGGTCACGCTTCTGCCCAACAACGTTCGTATCGTCTGCAGCACCAAATAGGCCAAATTACCCCATTATCTTCAGCGTAAGTTGTGAGATGTGATTGCCACGTCTCCTCACTTGACCTTCACTTTAATTTCTGCAGTCGTCGTGAATGCATGCTAAGGCCCAACGGCAGAATGCTACGTCAAGCGGCCGCCAAGCTGCAGTCGGGTGCCACCCTTGTGCAACACGACAATGCTGGGCGAATAACATTTGAGATATTTCCATCGTAATTGCCGTAGTCCGACCCAACCCTGAAGATCGGCATGCTCAGGGCCGCCAAATGGAAACGCGATACAACGCGCTGCTTACATCTCAGCGGACTTATTGCACCATGTTTCATCCCCATCAAGAGGAGACGTCCCCTTCAAAAGGGCCCTCTTCTCCTGGAAGAAATCTTTCGGCCATCTCCTGCGTTATCCTTTAGCAGACAATCTGTCACACGATCCTCATCATGGGTGCGCTTCCGATTTCATTGTTGGAAGCATCGCCTGCAAGCCTGGCCTTGCTGGGGCTGCTTCTTTTTACTTCCTGGTACATAAGCACATCTTTCTTTGCTTGGTACCGTCTTAGACATATTCCAGGTCCCTTTCTAGGGTCGTTCTCTTATCTTTGGATCATAAAAATCGCCCGAAGCGCCCGCCAGGAGAAGCTATACCGAACTATCAACGACGACTACAACAGCCGCCTAGTCCGCGTAGGCCCCAATGAGCTCCTCACTGACGACCCAGAGGTCTTGCGACGTGCGAACGCTGTGCGTGGCGACTATGGCAAAGACGGCTGGTACATCTCCGCCCGCTTTAACCCTTACCAAGACACTATGATCACCGTATTGGACAAGACGCTTCATGATAAGATGAAGGCTAAGACAGCCGCTGGCTACGCGGGACGTGAGATCGATCTTTTGGAGCCAAGCGTCGACGAGCAGATCACCAGTCTCATCACTCTCCTCAAGACAAGCTATGCAGACACGAACGTGTTAGTCGACATGGCTGAGTTGTCGGTCTTCCTGACCATGGATGTCATTACAAGCGCATCATTCGGAAAGCCCTTTGGCCATCTAAACGCGAACGCGGATGTCTTTGGCTTTATCGAAGATGTGAGAAAAAATTGGCCGGTAATCGCGCTTATGCTGGACGCTCCTATTCTCCGCAGCGTCATGTTCTCCAAGTGGTTCCTCAGTTTCAGTGGTCCGCGACCGACCGATAAGCGCGGGCTGGGCCAAATGATGGGGTGAGTTATTAACTAGTATCGCATTCCGCCGTTCTTAGTAACTCAAGTATCCCCAGAATTGCTGAGAAGCACGTCGGTGAAAGATTCAAAACCGGCTCAGAGCAACAGCGGGATATGTTGGTATGTGGTGTATGAGCAAGCCGTCGCTACCATTTTTTCTAACACGCGACAGGGATCTTGGATCAAGAATGGCATGAGTAGGGAAGAGTGCGAGGCAGAGGGTCTCTTTGCGTTGGTTGCTGGATCCGACACTACTGCATCTGTGATTAGAATCACACTGCTGCACTTGATGAGCAACGCCAGAGTTTATTCGAAGTTTAGAGATGTAATTCAGCAAGCAGTCAAGGCTGGTGTATCGACCCCTATCACGTACGACGAGGGCACCAAGATTCCTTACTTGAGGGTATGTGCCTCCTCTATCTGTCAATCTTCTTCACCTCACATCTAACTTACATCTCCAAATAATAGGCTTTGATCTACGAAGGAATTCGCATCCGAGCTCCCGCCACTGGACTTTACCCGAAGACGGTTCCTCCTCAGGGCGAAACTATTCACGGCATATTTGTTCCTGGAGGCACAGCTATCTGTATGAATGCACCTGCGATGCTTAAGTCTCGCGCTATGTTTGGTGCAGATGCAGACCTTTTCCGGCCCGAGCGCTTTTTAGAAGTTGATGATGCCACCAGAGCTAGCTTGGAGCGTGAGGTGGAAATGGCATTCGGCTATGGGCGTTACATGTGCGCCGGAAAGCCTGTCGCTTTCATGGAGCTGTTCAAGACCTTTTTTGAGGTGAGCTACAACCTGCACGATCTGGTTAACTCGAACATTGCAGGAATACTAACTCCATCGTTTAGTTGATGCGCAACTTCGACTTTGAGCTTGCGAATCCTGTCAAGCCGTGGGACTCGTACAGCTACAACGTTTTCGTGGAAGAGAACATGTGGGTTAAGGTCACTTCAGCCAAGGTCGAGTGAGGTCTTGCATTCGAAGTCAATTCTCAGCTCTATCATAAAATAGGCACATATCATATCGCACATTACTAGCAACTTCCAATGACTAGAAAGCGCTACGTCGTTCTACAGATAAACTTGGAGAACTCCAAGATAAGGATGCCATGCGTTTACTTGATGTGTGTTGACGTTATGCTGTAGTACATAACGATCCAATTTTATTGTTTGTCAACCCATTCGGAGTTGCTACATTGGCAATTACCCCTTGGAGGCAATCGAGACGACATTTGTGGACAGGTATTGCTGCTGAACTACACTGCAGCATAGCCAATCATGTTAAAACAAAGCAAATGAAGCCCACCTGAAGCCGACGGGATGACGATTCTTAGATTGTCGTGATAGGGTGGATTGAGATTTGACTCTTAGTATGACGTTAAATCAAACCACCTAGGGCATGGCTTGACAAATCTCAGTTTGCTGCTTCTTTTAGCGGAAGCCGTGGAATGCGCGGTCTAGGATGGGCTGGTCTTTGCTTCGACTAGTACGTCGTCCACCAATTGCGCGGTACGCGGAATTCATATCCCGAGCTACCTTTGTCAGCTATAACGTAGTTGATTTGCGAATTATCACCTATAAATGTCAGGAGGAAAGTTCTAAATGTTTCTCATCAATTCATATTATCAAGTCACATCAGGAATAATCACTTCGAAACACACAAGTATGGCACATGCACTCATTCTTGGAGCCTCCGGCATTTCTGGCTGGTCTCTCGTGAACCAAGCTCGGACCTATCCTACACCTACAACGTTCAACCGCATCACCGGAACGACGAACCGTCCTCTTAGCCTACAACAGGCGCAGCTGCCGGAGGATAAGCGTCTTTCAATTGTCTCCGGAATCGATCTTACGAAGCCCGTAGAGGAGGTCGCCGAGTCTCTGAAAGAAAAGATTCAAGACATCGACAGTGTCTCCCACGTGTTTTTCACAGGTTAGTCGTGGCGTCCTAAAAGCCACATATCTTGAAGTGCAGAGACTGACATTAATGCAGCGTACATACAGACGGCCGACTTTCAAAGTTTGAAGGAAAAGAATACGAGTCTCTTGGAAACCGCTGTAAGAGCCATTGAGCAAGTCTCGCCCAAGCTGCAGGCTATTATTCTTCAAACAGGAGGGAAGGGGTAAGTGTTCCAGTATCTGTCGCTTTAGGCCATGTTGCTCAGTCTCGCCATGAACAGCTACGGTCTTGAGTTTTCTAAGGAACTTGAGATCAAGGCCCCACTTCGTGAGGACTATCCCCGAATTCCCAAACCATGGGCAAGCAACATCTTCTACTACACGCAATACGACACGCTCAAATCGCTCTCCGAGGGAAATCCATGGACCTTCACTGAGATCCGCCCCGATGGCATCGTGGGCTTCACCCCTACCCCGAACCCGATGAACATGGCTCAAGGTATCGGCCTCTACCTGAGCATCTACCGAGCAGTCAAAGGCGCAGGCGCGAGTGTCCCCTTTCCGGGTTACGAGCACGGGTACCATTCAACACACTCCGATACCTTCCAGGATATCCTTTCGAAGATGGAGATCTACGCAGCTCTGAACCCGGAGAAGTGTGGCAACGGCGCCGTGTTCAACATGGCAGACGGCAAGACGGTATCGTGGTCTCAGGTCTGGCCTGGACTCTGCGCCCACTTCGGACTCACTGGAGAGGGACCTGGAGCTAAGTCAGTCAAGATGGAGGACTTCGTGAAGGAGCATAGAGATGTGTGGACAGCGTTGGCCAAGGAACACGGCCTCGATGAGAAGCTCATTGACAAGCAAGGTTGGGCGCATACCCACTTCATGCTGGTCGACTTTGACTTTGATCGGCAATATGATTTGTCCCGGTCTCGAAAGGTTGGGTTTGCGGAAGAGATTGACACAGTCGATGGATACGTTGTCTCTTGGAAACGAATGCGCGCTGCTAAGCAGCTTCCTCCTCTGAAGTAGCGTGTGATACTCACCGAGCTTGTCATAGCGCACAAAGCTATTTATTCTTCAAATCGAACACTCTCTAGAATGCTTTACTCTGCATTTCGTACGTACGCACTGTTGTGAGTACCATAGACATTCTCTTCGTGGAGAGCTAAAAATATCATTCCACGTGCTCGTCATTCTCGCAACTTTAACCAGTAAGACCAAAGAACAATACGTTGTATAGAAGGACTGGCCTTGACTCGTGAAGAACTTGTTGAATCGATGTAGCCACCCATGACGCAGAAACAGAAGCTCGAAAGGTAAGTACCTCATCTAGGTGATTCATGATCCCATGCCACCAAAACAAGCCCCGCAAATTCAAGTGTACTCTGCTTGCGATTTCCTGAATTGGTCGCCGAAGGCACATCAGCAAGGGCACTGCTTGTTGCCGCGGATCCTATGGTTTGACTCGCTGATGATCCGGTCTGAGATGCAGATCCGCTGTTGACTTGCACGCAAGTGTTTGGTGCCCATGTTGCAGCAGCTGAATGAAGTTAAACCAACTACCATCAGGATACTGACTCTGTTTAACCACTTACGTCCGATGTCGCCAAAACCACATCCAGCCGTAATGATGCAACCGGCCATTTTCGCAGAGAGGGATTCGGATTGGGCGCACAAACAACTGAGATCAGAAGAAGAGCAACTAAGCTCCTTTGCGATGGATGCTAAGCAGTCAATCGCGCAAGCTGGAGGCTCTTCACTAGCCAGCACGATACTCGCGCTGGACAGAATGAGTGCGACTGCACCAATCTTCATCATGAGATCTCCCCCAAAGGTCGGATTATTGAACAAGTGAAGAATGAGTAGTCGCACGGTTTCAATATTTCAATATTTAAAGAAAGAAAAAAAACGCACAAATTTGAACGGTATTTATGGGAGAACGAACCCCTTACAGAAGAAGGTCGACGATCATGCTGTCATGACACCTACAGTCAGCTGGACAAGTAGCGTTGTGATCGGAATCCCAGGAGCTGAAGAAACCCGCGTATAAGTCAAAGGAGCGAAATACAGCTACTTCCAGTTTTGTCTGGACATTGCTATGGAAGTCCCAATCGTGTTGCTGCATGATCATCATATACGCGTATAGCGCCGTGGTCGGGGCACTGCCTCAACTTCCGGCTCGATCATTGAACAAGGGCGACAGATGATCCCACAATCAATTCCACGTCAAATAGATATATCCACATTTCAGGACTGCAGCCGCCGCCCAAGCATGATAACTGACTTCGACTCAACGATCGGTGCGGATTTCATCATGAAGCAAACCTGGGCCCACCGCGCGTTTTCCGAGAATCTTAGAAATCCGAAGTCGGTGCACACGCGGTTGTATGCGGCCTGTCGTTCTTGGGTATCCATCCGTGCGCAACACGCGGCAATTAAGGTTCTTACGTAATCATCCCAAGCTGGGGGATCCTGAGATGTGACGTGCTGCCGACCGATCCATGGTAACGGCCCGCCCCTTTCCGTACAACACTAGTCACGAAGCAATGGTGGAGTTCACAGGTAAGCTTGTCCAGCTGTGAAGAAGTACGCGGTATACTGGAATGGACTGAATTAACCTTTGCTCGCTCGCATAGACTTTCCGAGGAACCGCAAACGGTCGCGGGGCAGGTCGCGTTCCAATCACCCCGCGAAGCGCCAGCGACAATATATCCCTCCCGCCGAGTACATCCCTATCGACAATCACGATGGACCGACGAACGCAACGACCATCTACCAAAACAACCGATCGATATCGCAACGATCGCATGATGCTTCCCAACTTCGAAGCAATGGACGACCATCTGCGAATTCCTCCAAAGATCCGATCCAAGCCGAGGTGAATCGCCTGCTGGCCGAATACACACGGGGCGTCCCTCCCGACTTGTATGCTTCAGGGAAGAAAAAGGCCTACTACATCGTCTGGAAAGGACATCAATGCGGAATATATACGAACTGGGCAGACTGTCAGACCCAAACCAACGGGGTTTCCAAAAGCTGGCTGTAGGTAGCGACCTGGTCTAGATGGGCTTCGCTTTCTGGAGGCATTTCACTGACAAGATTCACCAAAGTCGTGGGCACCAAGACTTTTTCTGAGGCCCTAAGGGACCCCTTTCCCGAGGTGGCATTACTTGAAGCTAATGCACAGTAGGTGAGCAGGCTCCGACGAGAGCTTACGAATCAATTGCGACAAGCAGCTCCTAGGAGGTGGGGGTACAGCACGGCAGAGCTTACGAGACAAGTGCCACAAGCAGTAGCTCCTATGAGGCAGGAATATAGTGCGGTAGAGCGTATACAGCAAGCCGCTGCTAGGAGACAGGAGTATGATCCGCCGCCGCCATACACTACAACGGCTTCTGGTTCCGCGTCTGGCCCGCCCTTACCTCACAATTCTCCATGCTACGCACCCCTTCCCCATGCTGCCGTCTCCAGCGGTTCTATCACGCCATTACTTGATAACTCTCAACATCACAGGCCCATACCCTATCCTCCCGCTGCAAACACTTCTCATTTTCCGAACCCCAATTCATACGCTGCCCCAACGACACCGGCTGAAAGAGTCGCAGCGACGGCCACTGAGGTACCGATCAAGCATGAACCAGAGTAAGATTTCACCGCCTTCCCCGTGGCGCCGGCTGCAAGTGTCGAGGTGGCGGTCACCGAGATACCGATGCCGCATGAACCAAAACAAACAGAAGCTCCTGACAAGCCTATCTTATGCCCAGAGCTGCAGGAGGCAATGGATCTTGCTATGCAAGGACACAACCTATTTATCACTGGGTACGTATTTCCCATGAACAGCCTCTCCCCAACCGCTTGGAACACACGCGGTTCCAAGAAGCACCACGCATCTACTAATGCGTCGGAAATCCAGGTCGGGCGGCTGTGGCAAATCAGTCCTCGTCAAAGCTCTCCGCGATGAGTTCAGATCCAGAGAGATGGACACTCATCTTCTTGCACCTGCAGGCCAAGCCGTTGTCAACATTGGCGGGAGAACAACCTTTAACTACGCTGGGTGGACACCCAGTGACTTGGCCAAAGCCTTGAACGGAAAAGGGGGTCTCGTTGAGAAGGCGCGCAGCAAAAAGATCTTCACTCGAATTGACGCAACTGACGTGATCATTATTGACGAGATCAGCATGGTCGAAAATCACTTTTTCGAGCGACTAAGCCGCATCATGAGTATCATTCGAAGCGACCCTAAGCCGTTCGGGGCTGTGCAAGTCATTGTTGTTGGTGATTTCTGCCAGTTGCCCCCGGTGATGCCGTTCAAAAATTGCATGGAATACGGCAGTCTGATGAACAAGACATCGCGAATCAGCATCCTGCTCTTCCTATCCTCACGAGCACGGTCGATTCTCAGATGATGATAAATGGGCTTTCAAGTCTCCAGAGTGGTCAAAGTGCAACTTCAAGTACGTGCACTTGAAACAAATTCATCGCCAACAGGACGAGGCGTTCGTAAGCGTTTTGCAAAAGTGTCGGCTTGGGAAACCCCTCTCGAAGCCAGATATCAACCTGCGCCTGGCACATGAGACCGATCTTGAGAATGGCACCGAGCTTTACGCCCTTCGAAAAGAGGTCGAGATGCACAACAACAAAGAAAATCAGAAGAACAAGAATAAGGCGCGAAGATACTTTTGCTTGGATGATTTTTGCGGGCCTAAGAATTCTGACGGCGGATACGCTCTGCCTGAGGAATTTCACGATTACACGGTAAGTCCACAAATGCCCAGTCACATGGAACGATTTCCGTGATTGGGTCAATCGCTCTTGACGTGTCTAATCTGGCAGGAGCGAAGGGCTAATCGTACTTGGGGACAGGTATTGAACCTAACAGCAATGGCACCGACTTCGCAACGGCCATTGAAGTGCCTTGACGATCACCGTTATGCCATGTGCTCGGAGCTCAAATTAGATATGCCAGTCATCCTACTCGCAAATGTGAGCATATCCATCAGCCAGAATTGTGCATGAAGGAGAGAGATGATTGTCTGACATACCGCAGATCGATCTAGGGGCAGGACTTTGCAACGGCAGACAAGGCAAAATTATCGGCTTCAAGCCACTAACAGAAATGCCTAAACAACCCAGTCGACAAAATTACAAACATGACCCCGACGGTTTCGAAGTAGCTCAGCACCGATATGACCACATGATGAATTTTATCGCATCAAAAGCAACACCCCGAGAGTGTAAGTGTCACGCCCTTCTATTTCGCACGGATGTTTAGGCCGTACCCTTGGCTTATATCTGATGCTGATGTCTTGCAGTTCCCGAGGTGGAATTTACGAACCGTATACGTCGCATCATCGGTCCCGACACCACTGCCAACAATATTGGCAGAACATCACCCTACTGGTTGCTGAGCCGCACGCAAATTCCTTTAATTCCGGGTTGGTCGATGACCATTCACAAGAGTCAGAGTCTGACTTTGGACCGTGTCACCGCGAATTTGAGCAAGGTTTTCGAGACTGGGCAGGCCTATGTAGCACTAAGCCGGGCTCGCTCTCTTAAAGGGCTCAAGATCAAAGGCTGTACGATGGCCCAGCTGCGAGACTGCATGAAGGTTGATCCTGTGGTGAAGGGGTTCATGGACAGGATGGAGGCTGTAGAATCGCGGGAGACCGCAGAAACAAGACCATCTATGAGAGATAGGTTCCTTGTGAAGCGCGAGGAGGCTGTAGAAATCAAAGAAGAGCCCCAGGACCAACCTGCCTTCTTCTTTGATTTACAGGGGGGATAGGCTATGAGGCTCATAAGACAATGGGGGTCACTGGTCAGATACATGTGGAAAATCTTAGATATTTACGATCACAGGCTACACGGGTACAATGGCGTTCATCTAGAGCTTTTGAAGAATTATATCATTCTCAACTTGTACTGTGCAGGTACATGGATCAAAACATTCCGTCAGGTCCAAAATTGACCGTCACCTTGGTACCTCAACCTGATCACACAAGCGTGTGCTGACGTATCGACGTTGTTCGACGTTGCGTATGCTCCAAGCAATGCCCCTGGGTATTTCCATTAGTCAGTTTATCAACAGACAGACTTTGAATGCTCGAAGCTTGCTGCTTACCTGTGAATATCGGACGTACGAGTGACGCGCGGGCGTATGCGACTGTCATCATCTGCGATTGATACGCTGCTGGCCCCGCAGAGAACGCGTAGTGAGTCGCGTTGGAGGCTTTTATTTCCATCCTCAACATCTGATCTCTCCACTCTTGAGGAAGAACCAGTGATGAGGACTCGATTAACGTGCCATTGGAAGCTCCTTGGAATCGTAGGAGCGGAGTTGCATGAGCGGTAATGTTCGTGCCGGTTTGTATCATTTGAACGACTCCCAGCTCAATGTGTGTTTTCTCGCTGACAAACACAGTCACGCCGGCCTCATCACCCTCTTGATCGAGGGAAAAGGTCATGTCAATGCTGAATGTGAAGAGGCTGTGAGATTGTCGGCGAGCCAAAAGGCTCAAGCCCCCACCGTTTGTGTTTGAAACAACTGACGAAAGATTGCCGAAGGAAGGCGCAAGCTGGAGCCCACAACTCGGATCATCAGGCGAAAAGTTGTATTTGCTTTCGTTCGGATATCGCCAGTGGACGAGATGTGAAGGCTTAAGATGTACCGTGGTGAAATCAATGGCGTCCGTCCCTGCAACATCTTGACCGGCGATCATCATATTCTTTCCGAGATCAGTAGGTGGCAGCTCCCATCCAGACATGATCCCTTCAACCTGGGTTGGAACAGGCCACTGACCTGGTTTCCATGTCACCGGGAATAGAACCGTCTCGCGGCCCATTGGGAAGACCCTGTTTTGTAGGTTGACGCGCGTCGCGTGCGCTACACCCCACCAGCTCCCACCAACGTCCTGAAACAGGTCGGCATGGCCAGCAGCCTGGAAATAATCGGTCGAATTCGCGTTGGTAAGGATTGGGTTGTCTGGGTTCGCCTCGTATGGGCCGTTGACACTCGTGGCACGGGCAATGGTAACCATATGGTTTAAGAAAGTCCCCCTCTCCGCGATGACCAGATAGTAGAAACCGTCTTTCTTGTAGACATGAGGCCCTTCCGGTGCCGCGCCTCCGGTTCCATTCCAGATGTTGACCACCTTGCCCACATTGCCAGTGTTGAGATCGATAGTGGACTGGAATATCCCAGATCGTACCTCTGCCAAGGGTGCCCATGTCACGTAGACTTGGCCATCGTCGTCCCAGAAGAGGCTGCTATCGTACCCGTCTGCCTCAAAATGTGGAGGATCAGACCAGCTGGCTGAGTCATACGGATCGGTCGATGTGAGAATGAAGTTTCGCCAACGAGACGAATCGTTCACAGGCAAGTAATCGAAGACAAGAGTGGTCGTCAAGAAGAAGGTCCCATTGTTGTATCGAAGGGTCGGTGCCCAGATGCCACCGACTTCTGTGATGGGGCTCGCAAATTCAGGTAGCTGGTCGTGTCGAGAGAACGCATGGCCGATGAGAGTCCAGTTTTGCAAGTCCTTACTTGCAGTGATTGGGATGCCAGGGAAAGCAACGAAGCTGGATGATGCGCAGAAGAAGGTCCCGTCGAATTCTTTTACAAAGATGCAGCTGGGGTCAGGATAGAACCCAGGTAGAATGGGATTGAGAATGGTCGAGTTTAGCGCTGAAGTCGCATCAGCGAGACAGCTTAAAAACAGGGCAAGACGCAAGGGTAAATTCATTTTCGAATGAAGGCAATGATCATGCTATTCCTTTCGTCTTCCATAGTCAAGGCTGCAACATGAGTTTATAGCAAGCCTTCAATGTTCAGGATACCAACCATTCTTTCAACGTGGACAAATTTTCGGGTTAGATCGCCCGATTCACCGACAAGCCTGGCATCGAAGATGCAGGTCAATGAAGCTAGACACGTAACTACCTGTTCGCTGGAATACTCAGCCGAATCACGACGAACATATACTTGCCGCAAGTTGTTTGCCCGCTGTACCTTTGTACAAAAGTCCTTATGAGATCGGCGAATAGCAAGATTTCAAGTACGCGTATTGCCTCTACATTTCATGATACCCAAGTCCAGCTGCTCACATAAGGCATCCTCTGCGAGTGAAAATGCTGAGTTTTGTGACTGATACAGATTGTCTGAAGCGTAAACTTTGAGTGTCATTAGACCCTTGAATCTCCACGCTGATACGTCGATACGAAATAACCAGCTTTATCCAGTGCTTAGTGTCAGCCAGGGTATGGCTCCAGCCCGAATACGCGGAGTGTGGCCATAGCCGAGGGTCCTCACTACGTCGGGTTTTTGTATCCCTTTTTGCCTAGGAAAGCAAGTCCTCGCGTATTGATAGTACGACATGCGAGAATCTACCCCAAAAACCAGGTGAATCGTGATATGGAGGCTAATGTCCAGTTTGCCCTCTGCTAGTATTGTGACACTCCGTTTGCATGTCATGCGCTTATCCCTTGGCTTCTACTGGGTTGAAACACCGCACGAGCAAAAATAAAATCATTCCGAATACAGTTCCACTTAAACATAATTATTTTGTACCTGTGCACTATGTACGTCTGTCGCGAGCTGAGCTCTCGGTTCTAGAATTGGCTGAGAACTTCAAGCTTACAAGGTATCTGGACTCAAATTTCACGCAACAACTTGCCCATTACCAGTCCTCAACCAGGCCGCAGTTTGTACCACGTGTGTTCAGCAGGAACTGGCAATTGGCCGAGTTGTCCGGATCAGCGCGACCCTCGATATCTGTGTACCCAACCCAAAGAACTTCGGAGTCTTCCTCTTGATATTTAGGCCACAAAGGCTTCGCTGTTTTGTCGCCGTCGCCATTGGGGTCGTGGTTGAGAGCGAAGGAAATATAGTAGCCTCGCATGATCTTGGCCAAGGTGGCGTTTCCGGGAAAAGAGAAATCTCCTCCATTCGAGCCATCGGCTGTTCCAACGGTTAGCAATCCCTCTTCAAGATAGTTCTCGCGAAGTATTTACCATTCGTCACACTACTGTACAAATAATAATCCGTAGTTCCGTGAAACTGGTAGCCTGCGTCGAAGACGAGCTTGTAGGCCGGTTGACCATGCTTGACTACTGACCTAGCAATATGTCTGGTTGGGCAATTCACTAGAGCGTCGCCAATGATAGCGGACCGCTTCACGAAAGAGTCCGAAAGAGGGGATTCCAGAATCCCAGCCTCCCGAGCCTCGGGGTAAATAGTCAAGGCGTCAAGGTGGGTTCGATTGTAAAGACTCGTAGGATAGAGCATCGATACAGTCTCAGCAAAGAAGCCGTCCGAGTCGTGCCATAGAGAGGTGAGATCAGACATAACCTCGCTTTCTGACGCCAGTGAGAAGTTGGTGAACAAGAATCCTTCGTCAAAGTTTCGATACGTCATGACGGGCACTTTCGTGAAATGCCCATTTCTAAATTGGCGAGCAGGATGGTCGGGGATGACGTGTCCATCGACCACCGGTCCCCAGTAAAATGTCCCGAATGCGTAATCCTTGTGGTGATAGGCTGTTCTGAATGCAGTCTCTGTAGCTGAACGTATGCGGGAAAGTGACGCATCTCGCAAACACTTCAATGAAGAGCATCTAGCTGCCCTCAAGAACTCTCGATACTGTTGTTGCTGCCACCCGTTATCGTATAGCGGGGTCCACCACGGAAACTCTGCCTGTGTTAGAGTGAGTGCAACGTTATGGAGGCGAAGTCCATCGTTGAACGGCACACCCACCTGGAATTGCTGCTTGAAATGGTGCTTCCTCTGATCCACCGTACATCACCATCTGCATAGTGACAGATCCCCCTCCCGCGCTGCCCCCAGAGATAGTAACGCGGTTAGGATCGCCCCCAAATATATGGATGTTGGATCGAATCCACTTGAGAGCCATTCTCTGATCCAGGAGGCCAGCATTGGCTGTCCCGTCCTTCTTAACATCGTTTCCGGATAGAAAGCCAAGCGGTCCTAGTCTGTATTGCAGTCCTACAAAGATCATTGTCCCATTCGACTGGCCGACAAGACTATCTCCAGTGCTTGCAATTTGACCACCAGCGACATAACCTGGAGTTTGAAGAGTATCAGCTGCAGCACTCGAAGACATGATTTTCCTCCTGACTCACCTCCCCCATGTATGTATACGAGGACAGGCAGTCTCTGGTATTTTGATATCATAGGTGTTTGGATGTTCAACAAAAGGCAGTCTTCGGATTCGTCTCCATTGTCTTCTCGCTTTCTTACCCGAGCAGCTGCTGTTGCGCCCTCCAAGCCCCAGTATGGACTGGACTGAACACACATAGGACCCGGTCGGATTCCGTCAATGAGTTGCAAAGGTGTGTCAACTTCGTTGTTGTACTCAACCAGCACCGGTGCTCTCCACCTTCGATTTCCAGTTGGTGCTTGAGCATACCTGATGCCCATGAAAGTGTTGATCCTTTTCCGGCATGAGTATTTACTTACGACTCGGGTAATGAGAAGCTTGGTGAGGGAGCTTACATAGAAGTCTTGTTTTGCAGACCCACGAACTTGACACCTGGACCCTCCACGGTTATCGAATCACCAAGAACCCCATGGCTGGCACAGAGGACTAGGGCCGAGAGCCTCAGAATGTGGACCATGATGGATGGGCCACGGTGCATCAATGGTGGGTTCAAGAAATGTGAACGCCCAGGAAAGAAAGTAGGCAACGGCGGCTTATGGTGTTGGAGCCAAGATTTCTTGCACGAGTATGCCTCAACGGTTGAGCGTCAAAGATGCCGGGAACCTGGGAGGGAATGACGGAAGAGGCTACCAGCGATTCCGGATTCAGTAGTTTTATGTACCGGAGACGAAGTACTGACGCCCACTACATGATGGCTGCGTTCCGAGCCCACGGCACACCGCATCCCCGTTGATTGCAACTGCTACTTCTCAGGTCCAGCCATCCTTCCAGATCAAACGTCACTAACAACCGATTGTTCGCGATCGTTTGGGACGAGGACCGATACTGCCGTTTGCCGATCTAGGCTCTTCCAGGTATCAATAGCTCGTCAGATTTTACATGCCTCGTAAGCTCTCACCGGCTTCGGCGGGGCGACAACGTTGGAACGTGGGTGGTGCGTGTAAGCTAGACTGAGACCAGACGCTGCAAGCCACCAGTGCAGCTGAACTGAGCTGCTTGCGGCAACACTGTGGTGGGTGCCTGAAGCATCGAGGCGCGCACATAAATCCCTGATTCTCTGGTAACTTTTCTTCTTGTCCTTTGATTCCGATTTAAAATGCCCGAGATTGTCATGCTCATCCCGCGATGACGTACTAGTCCATATATGCCTCTACGCAAGGCCTGCAGTGTGCGGTCAACTCATTCTTGCTGATTTGACAACTTGGTTTCTTCTCCGTCTAACAAGTACGAAGTATCTCACACAATTTGAACCTGTCAAGCCTGCTTGTCTGCGCCGGATACTATTGCTAAACTGATCAATGTGGTAAGGTGATCCCGCCTTTCGGCCTCACTTACCCCGACAGAAATTCCCGCGTATTTGGTGAATACGCGCTACTGCCGAGCACAAACATCAATGATAGTCGACATGAATGCCGTGTAACACCATCACAGCTCATCAGCTCAACAACGAAATCTGATTACGGTGGCTTGCTTCCTGCCAAGGGCGGCAATTGACAACGGCCATGGACTAGCTTCCGAGGAGGCGAGAACCTGGGATCTGCCTCGAGGTTCCACATATTGCTTGGATTGACATTCAACCAATACAAGGTATCGATTCAAGTGTTCACTTTTGTCTGAGCCGCACATGAACAGGCATACCGTCCTTGGGGTGACCAATTCCGTCGCCGGCCACGTACAATCGCTGGCCTCTCACCATATCCTTCTGTCCCTTGATGCCGCTATTGGAGAGAGTTGTTAGCTGTGTGGCCCCAGTGTTCGTAGACCAGAGAGTAAACTTACCGAGCAGCATCCCATTCATCCCAAGCCTCCTCCACATCGAACTTTCGGATGATGAGAGCGGCAACCAGCTTGATTTCAACCCAAGCAATCTCCTGTCCAATACAGTCTCGGGGGCCTCTTGCAAAAGCTCTCCAAGCATCCTTGACAGGGTGCAACGGGTCCTCCGCAGGCACAAGGTAGCGCTCCGGGATGAACTTGTCAACGTCAGGCCACAACGAGGGGTCATGCTGCATGCCTGGCCCGCCATCCCACACCAGAAATCCTTCGGTAGGATACTGCCTGCCCTCTGCAGTCAAGAAGAATCCTGCTTCACCGCCTCTCATAGTCGACGCGAGCTGGTACAGCCGCAGACTTTCCTTGATGACGGCATGTGTGTAGCGCAGCGAACTCAGAAGTTGTGGTGATTGGCTGAGAACCTCGGCCGCTTGGTCAGGATCCATGCCCAAGACCTCATCATGTTCAGCTCGAACCTTGGCCAAGCAGTCTGGATGATCTTGAAGCACCTTGAACATGAAACAAAGTGCGCTGGCTGTCGTCTCGTGGCCGGCGACGAGGAAGGTCTTGAGGTTGCCCATAATAGTGTCCATCATCTCGGGGTCGGTGGCTGGGTTGGTAACGCGGCCGCCAGCTTCCTCTGCAAGGTGCATCAGCGCCAGGTTGAGAACCGTCTTCTTCTTGGCAGGCTTCAGTCCCGACTCAAGAGAGTGAACAATGCTAGGATAGAGTTGGTTATAAACAATCTCATTGTTGCGGTCAACGGCCCTGTTCTGCCACGGGAAAAGATAGCCAAAGCTGAAAGCTTGTCGGATGCCCATCAGCCTGAGCTGGTCCGCAAGAGCCACTCTAAGCGGACCAGCGGTCTTGTTCTTCTGCTCGTTCAAACGCTCATCCCTTCGAAGCACGTAAGTAAATCATGTTCTATTGTGATTTTGAGAAATTAGGTCAGGTCTTACAAGACGGCTCGGACGATGATGTCGAAAGTCAGGGCTGTTGTCATGTTGCGGAGCTGGAACATAGGACCCCAAGATCCATTCGGGCCAGCTCGTTGCTTCAGATTGTCGGCGAACACCTTGATCTCCTCAATCAGTTCAGGAACGATCATCGACACATTCCTGGAACTGAATCCAGGATTGAACCATCCTCTCCACTTCTTCCACTCGTCGGCCTGCAGGGTGGCGATGTCCTTACCCTTGGTCAGGGGATTCATGAAGTCAAGAGAGATCTGGTGCTTGTCGAGATTCTTCGTCTGGGTGAACTGAGCCGCAACCGTATTCTTGTACGCGGCCACGATAGGCGCCTTGAGAACGGGCCACAGGTCGAGGTAGATGACAGGCGGGCAGTGGTCCATTTCGGGAAAGTATCTCTTGTAGTTGTTGATAATCCACGGGTGAAAGTTACCAATGTTGATGTCTCCTGGATATTCCTTCCGGAACTCCATCATGACTTTTAGGTGACCTGTGATCCAAGAATGGGGTAGCATCGGCTGCAGTTTGAAGTTAGTCGATGTTGGCACAATGGTTGGAAACGATCATCACTTACAATGCCCTGGGCCCTCACTTGCCTAAACTTCCTCCGAATGGTAAACGCTTTCCAAAGAACCTTGAATACTAGAGTTCCAACAAAGATTGCGGCGAGCTTGAGGACCAGCGGCAAAAGCGCCGCTGGTGTCCACGAAATCGTGTAACCCATGTCTGCGAAAACGTTCAAAGGGTATTTGAGGAGAAAGCTGCACGTAATTAATTGCACTCAGATGCCAGCTAGAAACACTTCTTTCTGCGCATGAGGTGCTTCCGTCACTGAGTTTTATAATCTATTCGGGTCAAGTGGGAGGAGTCGCAATGCGGGAGCTCCAGATGGGGAAGTATGTTTACATTTCCGTTCTTGATCACACCGAGGAGCTTAAGCTTCCAGGCGACAGGGTCACAGCTCCGAGTGCACCAAAATTTCGAGTCATTCATACCACTTTACACGACCAATTGAGAAACGTTCATTCATACAAACCACTGCTATTATGGTGCAAATCATAGGCAGCACACATGTGCGGGGTTCTAGCCAGGTTGAAACGGGTAGAGGGTGAAGATGGACGTGGATCGGAAATACCCGCCCATTTCCACCGTCACTCTGCGACGATTTAACCGAAACCCCAACTTGATACTGTCCATGCGACCAGCATGAAGACCCTGAAAGACGCTGTTCCGAACTCTGTCTCGGTCGGTTGCAGACCCACGCCATCTTCTACCACTTGCCGCGTCGCCGACTGGTAAAGGTTTGTAGATAAACACAAACTTTCAGACCCTGCAGCCGAACGGTGCGATATTTGCGGAGGCGCTCCAGCCTCCTCAGGAGAAAACATGTGACCAATGACTTGAGATGAGAGCAGTTCATCCAGTGCACGGAATATGGTTGCACAACCTATCGATTACTGTATTACATACCATGCAAATACAAATCCCCGTCTGCCTATCACATAGATTATTGGCGAGTTCATCATGACCCGATGTCAATACTCGACATGAGTCCGGGTTCCCTCCAATTCGGGCACGCAGCATCGGCCAAGACAGCAGCCTGTTTGATTCCCAGAGACACTTTGATGCCATGAAGGTGATCCGCAGCCCAAGACCGCACTGCGGCACTATTCATTTCCTCCTGCGACACGATGTACAGTGGCCAAATCATCGTCGACGCTCCTGCAAAGGAATTAGTTCAGGACAGGGTTTCGTCGTCCGGGGTTGCTTACTTGGTGTACCAGATAGATCTGTTGTTGATATGCAAATATCGGTCGACAGGTTTCGAATTGCTGAAAAGGCCTCAAACCGCATTGCCTCTTTCAAAGACTCATTATACGCGTTCTGCTGGTCCACATAGTTCAGCAGAATCTCATTAGCCAGAATACCCAAAGACCTCCAATTATTCCAGACTTGCGCTCCCCAGACGCTGGTATATACGTGACGCTTTCTGTTGAAATAAATCCCGGTGCGAGGTTCAATGACCTCAGTCACATAGTAAGCCCTGTGAGTCTGCAGCGCTGCCCAGGCCTGCAAGTCGCTTTTGATGTCGAGTATGATCTGACAGATCGCGTCGGGGTCCGTGATTCGCTGGCTCTTGATATCTGCGCGGAGGTTGACGATACGAAAACCAATAAGAGCCAAAGACCCTGGACGATTGTTCACGTAGCGCATCCCGAGTCTGCTGGACTCGAATTCCGTGGTTACCTCCACCAGTGCTGCGGGGACTCTTGCGCCTCGCTGAATACAGGCTTGAAGCTACGAAAGTCAGATTCTTGGATAATATGTTGTAAGTCATCCAACTCACTATCTGATTTCTGAATTGCATGTAAAGTTGTATACCCAACTCACGAGAGAATTGTTCTTGGCCGCGAACTTGTAGTAGTGCCGTGGCTCCCTCGATATGTGTCGCCCAAGTCTGGTAATCTCTCCAGTTTTCGAAAGTGACAGTCTGTCCTGACGTTAGTCTATGGTGGAAATCAACGTCATCTCGGTTGATGATGGATACGTGCCTCGAAGAGCCCCAGCAGAAGGATCGCCATGAGAGTTGAGTCCGCCGCGACCAGGGTCGGATCTCGTAAGGCCAAGTTGGTAGCGTTCAAGGCTTGACAATATCGTTCTTTGGCCTGAATAATGACATCGGGTGCGTTGTGTACGTTGGATATCGCCGCCATTCCCACGGCTTGGACAGCTGCTCTGACGACGTTGCTAGGGACGGCTTCCAGATACGTCTGTGCCAACCACTCCTGATAGGTATCACCAAATGGCGGTCCAGTTGTCGTGTAATATGCGAAGAAAAAGTTGGCGGCGCGGTCTTCTAGTGTCTGGCCCAAACTCGTAGATATAGTGCCGGAAGAGATGGCCGTCCGTACGAAGTCGGTTAGTCCTACATCTGTACCAGTGCAGACATCGTGTAGTTGTATGTCAAGAAGGGTTTCATCTCGCTCTGGCTCAGGACTTTTGTGAAATCTGTTCTTGATTCTTTGACGTTCGTCGCGAAATAGAACATCTGCCAGATGCCGGTAGCCGGGACACTGCGTCTTGCCCTTCTCACATTTGAGGCATCCCGGTCTTTGTTGGTCACACTATCCCAGTCAGTTCAACCAAACCTTACGCTGGGGGATAGTCGGATTTAAGATAGCACATGCCTTGACTTTGCGTTTTCGACAGCGCTGGCATCCTTTGCTGAGGGCACCGTAGTAGACCATCATGTGCAAAAACAAGAAGGGATTGATCAATCCCGAAGCTCAGTCAGGAGTCAAAAAAGCCGACGGATTTCGGATTTTAAGCGAAATTTCCGGTTAGAAGCCCGTCTAGTCAGTCCACTAAGTGACAATAGACTTGTGAAGGAGAGATCAAATGGCAATGAAAAAGTTTCGTTCACTTTTTGACGAAAGATCCTTCGCTCGCGTTATGGAAAATCTCCAGCGTGAGAATGTAAGCCCATGATTAAACGATGCAGGGGATTCAGCCCGACAAGGGAGCCGGGCGGGATCCGGGTGGCCGGCAGCGCATCGGCGGGGGGCTGTGGTCCCAACTCGCACTCTTGGCCTGAATCGGGATTAGCGGAAACGCCACAGGAGCAGCTCTGATTCGCTACGGTTAGCTTGGTCATCCTTCTTTGGAAGGCCATTGGTGGGCCCATGTTGGTCGTCTCTTGCCAATGATCATGGCAGACGCAGTGACCTCCCTTTCATCTGAGTTGACTTCAGCAGAAGCACATGGCAGTCGTTGGGATATAAAGACTGGCCGACGACATCCCAAATCATCAGAACTCCCTAAAACACATCAGAACCAAAAGAAATCATAATCAGACTTCTCTCAAGACCTTCATTCCCATAATACGACTAATACACCAACTCACAATGGCTGAAACCCTTATCACGCCCGCTCCAACCTCTGTGCCCCGGGAGAACACCTTCCGCAAATACACCGCAGAGCAAGGCAAGGTCTACGCAAAGGGACGCCCGGTCTATGACAACTGTCTCTACGATATCATCATCGACCACCACAAATCCACCGGTGGCAAGCTCGACATCTTGCTTGACATCGGTACTGGCCCCGGCACCGTTGCCCGGGGCCTTGGCCCGCGCTTCAAACAGGTCATCGGTCTTGACCCCGCTGCGGGCATGATTGCCGCCGCCCGGTCTTTTGGCGGCGTCTCTGGCAACTCAGAACCCATCCGTTTCGACGTATCTACCGCCGAAGAACTTGGCTCGAACCTGTCTCCAGCGGTCGCGGACAGCAGCGTCGATCTTGTCACTGCTGCAACTGCTGCTCACTGGTTCGACATGCCCGGCTTCTGGGCCGCTGCAGCCCGTGTTCTGAAGCCTGGTGGCACCGTCGCCATTTGGAGTGGCAGTTCCATGTACATCCATCCTTCGGTGCCAAACCATGAGCACATCCAGGGTGTCCTAAACGAGTTCCGAAACCAGCACTTGGTGCCTTACATGGTTCAAGGAAACCACATTGGCGAGACACTGTATGAGGATCTGCCTCTGCCATGGACCGTGGAGAATCCGATACGCGAGTTCGATCAGAGCACATTCTATCGCAAGGAATGGAACAAAGATGGGATAGTTGACAAGGACGGGGAGTTCTTCCATCAACTGACTTGGAACATGGATGATGTGGAAAATATGATGATCACGGTGAGCCCTGTTACGCGTTGGCGTGAAGCCCACCCAGAGCTGGTTGGCACGGACCGAGACGTGGTCAAGATGCTGCGGAAGCAGATTGAGACATTACTGCATGAGGCCGATGTTGAGAAGGGCAAGGAGACGATTACAACGGGATGGTCCGGAGCCCTGCTGATGGTGAAGAAGACGAATTAAATTATTGCACAGGCTAATTGTCTCTTTGAAATTTGAGAGGATCGCAATTGATAGATCACAATGAGAATTCTACCTTTGACATAACGGAGAATCATAATATTTGAGCTACCGAGTCAAACTGTTGTACTGACATGTGCCATCGGTCCATGTGACCTGTAGGATTTCTTTTGATCAGAAAGAAACAATTGATCATAACCCACAGAAACCAGTAGCGGTCTTCATTGTGAAAAGAGTGTTTGTCAACCGCCAACTGAGGTTTCGGGTCAGTGCTGAGACAGACAGATCCTCATAGTAGAACCTGGACACCTCAACAGACTTTGCCTTTACCTACCAGCTCTTTGTTCGTCTACGTAATGGTCTCTTGTATTCAGATCTCTTCCCCCTTCCGACTCTTAAGTATCAAAATTCCAGGACGTAAATCCCTCGCATCTACTTGACTCTCGCACTAAACAGGAGTACTCACCAAGCCCTGTACGCTCCCGCGACTCTCTAACTCCTCGTTAGAGACGCCGCTCATTGTTTTTCTCTATCAACTCCAAGACATTGCTTTTAAAAGTCATTTCTCATTCTCTTTTCAAACAAAGAAGATAACGCTGGAATTCAGCATTATGGAGCCGCACAAAATCGACTGGGTGGGTGTCTTTCTTTTCTCTTACTGGAACCACAAGCGGAAACGACCTGAAGAGGCCAAAGTTGTCGACGGGTTTATACTGGAGTTCTTCAAGAAAAGTCGGCCGCCGATGTTGCTGGGCGCCAACTTTGAATCGGTCTCTTGGGGCGAAGCTCTGCTCGATCTTATGTGCCAGTTGAACGCCCAGTTCGGTAAGTATTCGCGTGAAGTACCACGGTT